CGGGCTGGCCCGCATCTGCGCTTTGAGATCAGCAGTGAAGACGGCTTCAGCGTGGAAGCGGAGAGCTTGGAAGGTGAGTTGGGAGCTCGCAGTGGCAGGAAAGTGTCCCGTGAAACACTGTGCTGACTCTGGCCCGCCCCCCTCCAGGGGCCTGGAGAACGCTGATTGAGAAGGTGCAAGAGGCCCGAGGGCATGCCCGGCTCCGACATCTCTCTTTCAGTGGTGAGTGGTGGGTCCTCAAGGATGCTGGGCGCTTGGATGACTCCAGGGCGAGCTGGATCCTCCATGTGACCGGTGTGTCCTTCCCTCCTCAGGCATGAGTGGGGCAAGGCTCCTGGGCATCCACCACGATGCGGTCATCTTCCTGGCAGAGCAGCTGCCCGGGGCCCAGCGCTGCCAGCACTATAAGTTCCGCTACCACCAGCAAGGAGAGGGTCAGGAGGAGCCACCGCTGAATCCCCACGGGGCTGCCCGTGCCGAGGTCTATCTCCGGTGAGAGCCCTGTGGGAGCTCTCAAGGGTGGGAATTGAGTCTGCACAGATGGAAACTGAAGCTGGGAGGGGATACTAGGTCTCTCCGAGAGTTATTTGTGGAGTTCATAGCAGAAGAATGAACTACACCCACTTCTTCTCTGCTGTGCCTTCAATCTCGCGTTTCTGCTACTCTGCCAGCAGTAGGCTCAAGGTCAGAGTGGCTGGGCAACATCTTGAAAGAATGGCCATGAACCTCCCTATTTTCCTCCCTCACGGACAGGAAATGCACCTTTGACATGTTCAACTTCCTGGCCTCCCAGCACCGGGTGCTTCCTGAGGGGGCTACCTGTGATGAGGAAGAGGATGAGGTACAGCTCAGGTCAACCAGGTACGGAAGGCAAGCTAGGGTGCTACGGTTTGGCCCAGAAGGGTCCTAAAGAGGATGACCTTGGCTGAGAGGTCCTTCCTGGGTACCAGCCTATGTGACACTGGTGTGCCCCACCTAGACGTGCCACCAGCCTGGAGCTGCCTATGGCCATGCGCTTTCGCCATCTCAAGAAGACGTCCAAAGAGGCTGTGGGTGTCTACAGGTTAGTGGGGTTAGAGGGGATACCCCGGGGGTTTCTGGCCAGGTTTCCCTGCCCCTGCCCTCTGAGTTCTCTCTGCATTCTACTGTGCAGATCAGCCATCCACGGGCGAGGCCTGTTCTGCAAGCGCAATATTGATGCTGGCGAGATGGTCATTGAGTACTCTGGCATCGTTATTCGCTCTGTGCTGACTGACAAGCGGGAGAAGTTCTACGACGGGAAGGTGGGCTCCAGGAGGCCGTGGGAGAATGAGGTGGGTGAGTTGGGCCAGCTCATGGGGACCGAACAGCTGATTGCCCCACCCATCCCTGTAGGGCATCGGGTGCTACATGTTCCGCATGGATGACTTTGATGTGGTGGATGCTACCATGCACGGCAACGCTGCCCGCTTCATCAACCATTCATGTGAGCCCAACTGCTTCTCTCGTGTCATCCACGTGGAGGGCCAGAAACACATTGTCATCTTTGCACTGCGCCGCATCCTGCGTGGTGAGGAGCTCACCTACGACTACAAGTTCCCCATCGAGGATGCCAGTAACAAGCTGCCCTGCAACTGTGGCGCCAAGCGCTGTCGTCGGTTCCTTAACTGAGGCCATGGCTGCCCCCGCCACCCCCCAGTCCTGCCCCTAGCCTGGGGGCTTCCTGATCCCTCCCCAAGCATCTCACTCCCACCTTCCTGTTCAGGGTGGATGTGGGCTCCACCCTCCAGTCCACCCAGCATCGGTCCCCTTTCTGTCCTGGGGGCCCAGGATGTAGATATTGTACAAAGGTTTCTAAATCCCTTCTTTTCTATGCACTTTTTTATTTAAGAGGGTGGGGTCCCAGGTGGGAACCCCCCCACAATAAAGTCTGTCAATGTTTGGAGAGGTGGTCTTGCCATTTGTATGATGCTGGGGCCCACGCCCTACACCCATCCTGAACCAAGGTCGCCCATCAGCCTCAGTAGGTAGGTGAGAAGCCATCCAGAAGTAGAAGTAAATTCTGGGGTCTGTTCAGGCTCCAGAGCAAGAAATGGCTTACACTGCCCAGTTGGCAGTACTGCTGTGTTCCTGGGCGCAGGGCTGTCCTGGAGCCGGGGGTGGGGGTGTGGGGGTGGGGGATCTGTCTTGGGGGCGGTTGGGTTTCTCAAAGGCTCTGGAGGGCAAGGGATGCAGATCTCAGATCTTGTTTCAGTTAGGATGCTACTTCAAGATCAGAAATGGAGACAGCAGGCATTTATTTCAAGCAAATTTTCATTTTTATTGAGTCTAGTAGGCCCAGCAAACTCCAAATCAGTCAAGCTTGGACAGCACCAGCAGTGCATCTGCCCGCCCTATCTGGGCCAGGTGTGCAGCAAACTGGCCCACAGTGGCGCCTGGCTCCCTGGCCACTACCATCTCTATCAGGCCCCGCAGTGGCGATCGACTGGGCCGCAGTGAGTAGGCGAAGGTAGACCAGGCAGCAGGCAGCCCGTACCTCGCAGCCAGGTGTCTACTGGTACCGCAGGTCCCTCCCCCACCTGGCCCAGGCTCAGGGTCCAGCAGCAAGATCAGTTCCTCCAGCACCTCCAGCTCATCCAGGAGGCGAGACAGGGGCTGTGACGCCAGGTTTCGCACCTCTGGGAGACAGGGAGAAGTAAAGGAGAGGAAGGGAAGGCAGGTTTCCGGGCCCCTCCCACCTCCTGGGCCCCCTCCCACTAACCCGTGCTCAAGTGTCCATGCAGAGAGCGCTCCTTCCCTGTGCTGCCTGCCTCTGATGCCTCCACGGTGCCTGGAGAAGGGGAGGGCAAGGAGAGCGGGTAGGTGTTGGATTCTTCACCATCCAAGCCAGGACAGGGGAGGGCGGCGGTTTTTCCCTCAGGTGGGTGATGCCTCCGCAGAGCGAGCAGGACAGTCACTGCCACGGTCACAAGCAGGACCAGCACCAGGAGCAGGACCAGCACCAAAGGCAAGACAAAACTTGGCCGAGAGATGTTGCTCTTAGTTGTCCACAAGAGACTGGAACTCGCCGGTGAGCTGGGCTCTTGGGAGCTAGGGTTGCTCTGTTCTCTAGGTGTTGGGAGGCAGAGGCTCTTGGCAGGGACAGGCCTCTGGGAACAAAGAAGTGGGAGTAGAGTGGGAGGCCACACCCTACTCCAAGCTCCTTCAGAGGGGCCACATCCCCTGCCTGGTCCTGCCCTACCCCACCCACCTCCAACCCACCTCAACCCCTTCAGGCCTCTCCTAATAGCTCTATGGCCCCACCCCTACCCTGTTCAGTGGAGTTACACCCACTTCCTAGATCCAGGCCCCGCCCCGCCCCACCTCGGGCCCTCCCAGCTCCCAAGCCCAAGTCCCACCAGCACCTCTCTGCAGCGTGGCTGGGTTCTGCCACAGTGCCCAGCCGGAGTAGGGGCTGGGGCTCCAGTGCCGCAGGGTCTGCACAGTTCCGCACCATCCGGGTTGCACTGGCCAGGAGCACACTTTTTGAATGGGTATGTTAAGAGGTCTCCAGAGTCATTGAGCCCACAGTTTTCCACGAACTCATAGTCTAGTGGGAGACGCAGGCACCGTTGTGGCAGTAGAGCCCCCCCTTCCTCCCCTTCACCCTGCTGTACACCCTCACCCCTTCCCTCTTCTACCCAGACTTCCACCCCCTCTAGCTCTGCCCCAGGCGCCCTCCACACCCAGATTTCTCCACAGCTCACAGCCCTGTCGTCTGCATTAGCCCACCAATGCTAGCTGTGAGCTACCCCCTCCCTCCCTGCTTCCCAGCACCACTCCCCTGGCTCGGGGCTCCTCACCCGGGCAGGGGGGCGGCCCGAAGCGCTGCAGGCAGCTGCTGCAGCACTTGTTGTCTGGGTTCCAGTACTCAAGGCTGCAGCAGTACTGGGAGGCTTCCGGTGGTGCTGCCTGGGCCAGAAACAGCACGGCTGCCAGGAAGAGGCGTCTGGGCCCCATCCAGGCAGGGCCAGCAGCCCGGGGGACGAGACCACGGGACTTCGAATCACAGACCACAGCGCCTCTTCCACACTTTGCAGGAAACCCAGGCAGAAGAAGAAAGTGGATATGGGGGGCACAGAATTCCAGAGCCCCAACACCCACACAAGCCCCTGGCCCCGAGGGAAGCCTCCAAGGTATCCAGGTGGCTCTAAGAACTCTGGATGTAGATGGCATGGGTCCACATCCCATGCCTGCCGTAGCCACTCTCCCATCCCTACGGCGAGGTGACAGCACCTGTCTCAGGGTTACTGTGAAAATCAGAATTATCACAAGTAAAAGCAGCTGCCGGGGTAACTTCAATGTAACTGTTAGGTACTACTGACTCCTACCTCAGGGTTGTGAGCGTGAAGGACCCAGCCTTAATTCAGTGGGGACTCCTCCGTACCCCCGAGCCGCCTTTCCTTTACTCCTGTATTGGTTTCTATCACTACCGCTGTCACTAGACACCTGAGAGGAGCCACCTAGGCAGGAAGGACGTTTATTCTGGCTCCGTGTTGAAGTTCACAATCCGAGACTGGTGTCTGCTGCGGGCGGCAGATAGCAGATCTCTGACACTGTAAGCCAGGCTGACTCCTAGAGCGACCTTCTGAGAGCACCTCCCCATGACAAAGACCCCTGCTGGGCCCACCGCCTAGAGGCAACAATTGGATGAAATTCCCACTCTTAATCCATTAGCCACCAACCTAAGACTTCAGGGAGTAAGCCCCCAACACATGGGCCTTTGGGGAACACCCAAACTGTTAGCCAAACCATAATACCACTTAACCCCCTAAGCTCCATGGGCAACCAAGCCTCCCCCCTTAAGCCTCCGATGGAGGTGCCGAGGTTTCCAGCCCACCAGTGACACGAGGGTCCTGAGTCCGAGTCTTCCACCTGTTCATGCTTCCTCCGCTGAAGTTGTGGCTAGAACCCAGCCCTGCTTCCTCTTTCCATGACACGTTTGCGGACGGAAACTCCAACCCACAGCTCAAGGCTCCACCTACAAAGCCTTAAACCACTTTATTTGAGAGAGGGGCAATAGACGATTAAATCCCAGAGCCTGGAAAGATGGGGCTTGAAGAGGCATCCTGGCCGGGAACATCCGTCAGGGTGAAGGGCAAGGCGGCCAGTCTCAGAAGCGGCCGTGCCGGTGGTCCGGAGAATGCCGTCTGTTCCTCTCTCGGGGACGATGGCCAGCGTGGGACCTTGGGGGTGACCTGCAGACAAAAGCAGGGGGAGCTGGGCTAAAGCTGCTGGAGAGTGGTGTGGACAGCCCAGGCCTGCTTCCCTGGGATGGAGCAGGGCACGTGGTAGAGGGACGAGACTTCCACGTGGTGGACTCGGCGGGAGGCACACGGGCTCATCTCAACACTGGCAATCCCAGCTAGCCCTGGGTTTGAGTTTCAGCCTGGTGTTGGGGTTGGGACTTCAGTACTGGTTTCTAGATGGAACTCAAGACTATTCTTAGGGTTCAACAGTCTTGGAACTAGCATCTGTTGGAGTCTCGGCTACTCCACTTCCAGACCAGCCCCCTGCTAATGTGCCTGGGAAGGCAGTGGAAGATGGCCTAAGTGCAGTGGGGGACCCGGATGTAGTTCCTGGTTCCTGGCTCCCAGCCCCAGCCATTGAAGCCATCTGGGAAGTGAACCAGCAGGCGAAAGATCTCTGTCTCCCCCTCTCTCTGTAACGCTGCCTTTCAAATAAATCTTAAAAAAAAAAAAAAAAAAAAAGGCTTGGGCAGTGTTACTGGAGCTCAGGGTAGGGGCCTCACGAGGACTCTCGGCAGGCCGGGCCTGCGTACCTGCGCCTGGGTCCCCGCCCGTAGAGCTGCCGCCGCAGGTTCCGGGAAATGGGCCGCAGGTGCATGAAGTTGCAGAAGCCGCCTCGGGTGCATTCCCTGGGCGGAGGACAGGTGGATGGGAGAGCCCATGGTCACCGACCGCCCTTCCCCACACAGGAGTGAGGGCCAGCAGTGTCCACCCCACCCTCGTGCTACCGTACCCCATCTCGTACTGCCGACAGCACGACTCCCGGAAGTCGGTGACAGGGGACAGCTCGGCGTGCACGGCTTGCCCATTGAACCAGCGGTTATTGAGTTCAGCCACTGCCCGCTCCGCATCCTCCTCCCGCCGGAACTGCGGGGAAAGTGGGTCAGGGTCAGCAGGCGCACGGAGGGCGGCCTCCGCTCCTGGGCCCGGAGGGGGCGGCGGGCACCTTGACGTAGACGTTGCCCACGAGGTGGTCGCCCAGGTTGTCGCAGACGTTCATCTCCTCGATCTCCCCGTACTTCTCCTGCAGCTCTGTGAACACCTCCTGGGCCAGACCGGGAGCACTGGGCTCAGCGGAGGCCCAGGGGACACCCCACCTGCCCAGGCGGCGCGGGACTGCTCCTCACCTCGAAGAAGTTATCGTAGTGTTCCTGCACCTCCACGTCGCTCACGTGACCTGGGGGAGGCCAGGGGGGAGTCATGGAGCGGCCTGCGAGCCGAGGCTCTCTGCCCCGCCCTGAGCGCGGGCCTTTACTTACAATGCGAGCCGTCTGCTGTTTGGGCCGTGTTCTGTGGATTCCGGTACAGGTTGAGCAGCACTATGGTCTGCACAGAATGGGAAAAGGGGCGGGGCCTAAGCTCAGCGGGCAGGGCTGCGTGCTGCGGGCAGGACAGTGGGGTATGGAGGCTGCAGCAGAGGAGGCGTGCGCACGGGGCGGGGCCCGGCCCGGCCCCGACGGACAGCGCGGGGGCGTTGCCAGCACCCACAAGGCGTGGCCCCGCTCGGAGAAGGCGGGGCTGAGCTGGCGGAGGGACGCGCGGCGGGAGGGCGTGGGCGGGGCCTCACACGCCCGGAAAAGGTGGGACCGCGCGATGATGGACAGCAGAAAGGGCAGGGCTGACAAGCATTAACCCCCGGGGCTCCGTGTCGGGTCTCACCTGGCTGAAAGTCGGTTTGTTGTGAAGCCGAGAGCACCGGTCTCCGTGCCGGCAGGCCCCGATCTTAAAGTAAAAAGAGCAGTTAACCCTGGAAGAGGTGCAAAGACACGGGTGACCTGAGGGCCGGGGGGAACGAACGCCCCGGTAACACCGCTCCGAGCCGCCCAGCCACCAGGGACCCGAACGCCCAGGCCCGGCCCCCTGAGAGGCCACTCCCCTGCGCCCATTCTCACTTGTCCTTCTCAGTCCCGAATATCGAAGCTAAATATTCAGCCATTTTTACCCAAACCTTCCGACTCGGCTTGCTCTTACGTCACTTCCGTTGCGCAGGGGCGTTGGGAAGTGTAGTTCGGCGCTCCGCGCGCGCGCAGAAACCCCCTAGTGCGCCTGCGTGTTGGAGGCCCTCGCCCTCCCCGCAGAATCCGGGACGGGAGTGTCCCGAAGGCGCATGCGCACAGCGCTGCCCCCCCGCGACCCGAAGAGACTACAAACTCCAGAGCAACCTGCGGCCTCTCGCGCAGACGTCCGTAGTTGGAAAATAGGAGGAGTATCCCTCGACCCACCCAGAGGAGGTGAGCTGGGGGTCGCCTGGCGCAGCCCAGTAACGTAAAGAGCTTCTCAGCCCAGCCCGCTTGCTGGTTGGGGGCGAGGGCGCACTTAAAGCACGCCCTCTCTTACATTTATCTGTGTTTTGTTGTCACAGGGACGTGGCTCTCCGTGTTTCTCGCATCTGCTGCTGAGGGTCGAGCCTGGTGTCTTGCCCTGCGGACCTGTGGGAAGACCCGGCCCTAAAGCAAGGATGAACTTGGAGCGGGTATCCAACGAGGAGAAGCTGAACCTGTGCCGGAAGTACTACCTCGGTAAGGCGCATCCCGGGGGCGGGGGGTCCCAGGATGGGGGAGGCCGTGGCCGGGGCTCGGAGGAGCGGACCCCTGGGCCCCAGGCAGGTGGCGAGGAGTGAGTCAGTGCTGCATCCCCGGGAGGCCGCCGAGCCCCCCGTCTGAGCTCGGGTGTGGGAGAGGACCTTGCAAGTAGGAGCTCGCTGCCCGGGACCCGGTGTGTGTGTTGTGTGTTTCTCCCTAGGAGGGTTCGCTTTCCTGCCTTTTCTCTGGTTGGTCAACATTTTCTGGTTCTTCCGAGAGGCCTTCCTTGCCCCGGCCTACACGGAGCAGAGCCAGATCAAAGGCTGTGAGTCGGACACGGGTGAGGGCAGGCCGGTGGGAGGGGGTGATGGAGGCTGCAGGATTCTGGGTCGGGGGAGAGAGCAAGAGAAGAGAGGGCTGGGCTGGGGGCGGCCAGCGAGCCGCCGCAGGCCGACTCGGACCCCTCCTGCTTCCCATTCCAGATGTCTGGCGCTCGGCGGTGGGCTTCCTGTTCTGGGTGATCGTACTCACCACCTGGATCACCATCTTCCAAATCTACCGGCCCCGCTGGGGCGCGCTTGGGGACTACCTCTCCTTCACCATACCTCTGGGCACCCCCTGACGGCCTGTGCACGGGCTCGGGACCTGTTTCCTCCGCAGGATGGGCTCGACGCACGTCTCAAGCCCCAAAACTTGCTTCTGTCCTGACACCGCCCCCAATAAAAGACCCTAACCCACCACATTGACTCCCTGGGGTCTTCTGGAGGTTGAAGCATACAGTGCGTATGAATATTTGAGAACATGTATTGAGTGCGTGTTTTGTAGCAGGCTTTTGTACTTTGTACATTGTGTGTGTGTGTGTGTGTGTGTGTGTGTTGCATTGAATTCCACTCAAAGGAACTTTCTCTATTCTGGAACATTAACTCTCAGAAGTAGTTAGTTTCCTGCTCGGCAAATCTGTTTTGCAGACAAGGAGCCAAGAAGGGAACCCTGCCTGCATTTCTGGGGCCTCCCGCCCTGAGCGCGTGGCGGTGCTGTTGGAAGCCTGAGTTTGTCTCCCCGGGCCTCCGTGTCGTCGGGGTGCAGAGCAGATCATGACGCTGCTCCCCGAGATCTCTCTGGGCTGGGGCGTGTGTGGTAAATGAAGTTCGTTCTCTGAGGGAGCCTTGTCTCCAGCAGTAGAAATATCCCAGAGCATTCTCGACCATCCTATTTAAAAACTTCAGCCCCTGAAGCCTGTGCTGTGCCATAGCAGGTAAAGCTGCTGCCTGCAACACCGGCATCCCATGTGGGCGCCGGTTCAAAACCTGGCTGCTCCACTTCCGACCAGCTCTCTGCTATAGCCTGGGAAAGCAGTGGAAGATGGCCCAAGTCCTTGGGCCCCTGCACCCACGTGGGAGACCCGGAAGAAGCTCCAGGTTTCTGATCGGCCCAGCTCCAGCCATTGCGACCATTTGGAAAGTGAACCAGCAGTTGGAAGTCTGTCTGTTTCTCTCTCCCTCTCTCCTTCCTCCCACCCCCCCCACCGCCTCTGCCTCTGCCTCTCTGTAACTCTGCCTTTCAAATAAATAGTAAAATAAATCTTTAAAAAAAAAAGGTTTAGGCCCCACCTTTATACTCTGTATGCCTTTCTTTTCTTTTTATTGATTTATATATTTTGAGAAAGAGATGGAGTGCCCATCGGCTGTTGGTTCTCCACATGCCTGCAACCACCTGGACTGCCCCAAGCCAAAACAGGGAGCTGGAAATGCAATCCAGTTCTCCCCTGCGGTGGCGGGAGCCCAGCAAGTTAAGCCCCAGCTGCTGCCTCTGCAGGGTTTGCATCAGCAGGAAGCTGGAATCGGGAGCCGTGGATGGAGCCCAGGCACTCCAGTGTGGGGTGTGAGATGAGGCTTCTTGACCACCAGGTGGAACACCTACCCTCAGGCTGCACTCTCTGTCCTGTCACATTTCACTTAGCATGTTTGACTTGTTTATATGGGTTTTTTTTAAGTGTTTGTTTGTTTGTTTGTTTGTTTATGTATTTGAGAGAGTTACAGTGACTGGGAGAGACAGAAAGGTCTTCCACCCACTGGGGCACTCCCCAAATGGCTGCAGTGGTTGGAGCTGAGTGGATCAGGAGCCAGGAGCTCCTTCCCAGTCTCCCACAGGGGTGCAGGGGCCCAAGGTCTTGGGCCATCTTCTACTGCTTTCCCAGGCCATAGCAGAGAGCTGGATCGGAAGAGGAGCAGCCAGAACTCGAACCGGCACCCATTTGGGATGCTGGTGCCGCCACATCACTGTCCCCTACTTGTTTATATTTTTAAACTTTCACTTATTTTTACATGAAAGAAAGACGGGAACACAGAGTTTCCATCCACAGATCCCATCAACAGCCAGGGTCCGTCCCAGTGGAAGCCAGGAACCAGGGACTCAACCTTAAGTCTCCCAAGTGGCTGGCAGAGATCTGCCTGCCGCCTCCCAGGATGCACCCCGAAGTGCTTTACTTATCCTCCGTCTTCCATCCTCTACAAGATAAGTTCATTAGGGCAAGGATTTTCATCTGTTCACTGCGTTGCCCCCAGTACCTAGATGAATACGTAACAGCCTAATAAAGATTCGCTAAATGAATGACGTTGTGCCTAATAAAGATCACCCAGTAGGCAGTTGGCTCCTAGCGAGTGCTCAGAAACTAGGAAACCGGCTAGATTCCCTGCAAACAGCTAAATGCGTGTTACTAAAACCTGACACTACAAGTCCCGGGAAGCTTCGCGATGCCTGATCCTTTGTCTCCCATAGTGCCCCGCGCGGCTCAAGCTAAGTTACTACGGCCGAGTCTCGGGAGCTGGAACTACACCTCCCAGGATTCCCTGGGTTGTCGTCGGTTTGTTTCCGGAAATAAGACCCTCTAGGAAGGTGGAGCTTAAGGCTGGGAGTCGACAGCGGCAGCTGTCTGTAAGTCGGGGTACTAGATTGGCAGTTAAATTGACTAATGAGAAAGAGCGACTGCCCAAAGGGTCCTCCCACAGAAGGGGAAGAAGAGGTGGCCGCGGCGGCGGCGGCAGTGGCGGTTGGACACTGCTGGGGCCGGGCCCGCGGTCGCCCCGGGAGCTTGCTCTTTGCAATCTCCGCGCCCGCCTCCAGCTTTGATTCGGCGCCGTATGTTCTTTTGAGCTTTCTCTGACCCACCTAGCCAGATCTCGGACCCAAACCATGTTCCCAGTGAAGGTGAAAGTGGAGAAATCAGGTGAGGACGCCGAGTCGGGGGCCTGTCGGGAACACCGGGCTGATCTGGGTCCAGGGGTCCGGATAGAGGGATGATCGCGAAAAGGTGGACTGCGCGGCTCCTCCCATCAGGCTGTCGTCGTGTCGAGCATCGATCGTTGCTGCCAGCACTCTGGCAGTGGCCGGGCAGTGTGGCGCGGGGAGAGCATCCCAAGCCACTCCTAGTTCTGTGCAGGCTCCTGTTCTCGGCTCCGCCTCAGTTTCCCCATTTCCAGCAGCGGGCGTGGGTCAGCCCTTGTGTCCCGAACCCATAATCGCCGTCTTCCGGCCGTCGTAGGAAGGTGGGGAAACTGAGGCTCGGAAAGAGAAAGTTATTCGGGGCGGGGCAGGCTGATGGGGGCAGTGGGAGAGGCACAGGAGGCCAAACAAGAAATAACAGTGGGAGGAAGTGGGGACTTAGGGCAGGTCAGGGGCCCTAGGTGGCCGGATGCGCAGGGTGCGAGGGGACGGCGGCGAGAACTGTGGGCCCGCCTGAGCACTTTGGATTTGGCTCTGAGCGGAATGAGGAGGCTAGGGCGGGTTTGAACTGAGAGCCGAGTTAATCAAAGTACCTCTCCCCCAGTGCCCCCCCCCCCCGAAGAACAGTGGCCAAGTGGTGAGGGGCTGACTGCAGAGAGGGGAGAGGGCGTGGACACCTGGCAGAGGGGCGCTGTGCAGGGGTGGAGGGCTCTAAGCCGGGAGCAGGGTCAGCCTTGGGCGTCTTAGGAAGATTCTTTCTCCTAGCGGAGGGGAGACTGAGGCTAGGAGTCCCCGGGGGTTGGGGATGAGGGGGTTGGGCTGGACCCAGGTGGCAGAGTGTGGAGAGACACTCAGGAGGCCAAGTGGACAGGCCATGGAGTTGGGGGGGGGGGGAAGGGGTCAGAAAAAAAAGGCTATTTTAGATGCCATTTCCCCGTCTTTAAGTGTTGTCAGCTCCTTCAGCCACACAGCGGGTCTGGGGCCCTGACGAGGCCGTATGAGCCTCTGCCATATAACTTAGCTTTGGAAGCAGATGGCTGGGATCAGATCCCTCTCAGTGCGACTTTGGGTGTCTCGGCACCTCAGTCTCCTCATCTGTAAGGTGGGTTACCAATGGCACCTGTTGGAGAATTGTGAGAATTCAGTGGGTGAGACAGGTGGTGTGCTCCCAACAGTCCTGGCACACAGGGAGCACTCTGAATAGGTTAACTTCTCATTTTCCTGTCCTGGTAGATGGGGAAGTGTCTGAAGCTTCATGAAGCCTTGCAGCCATTGTGTGGCTATATGTCATTCGGGGACAGCCCAGGAAGGGGGTGGGCCTTGCCTCCTCTCACACAGTGGGCACATGTGACAGCCCTGGAGCTCAGGGGCCTCTGCCCCTGGTTTGGGCCCGCCCACAGCTGGCCCAAGCAGAGGAGACACATTCCCTGGTCCAGTCCCAAGGCTGCGAGCTGACACCTGCTTGGTACCCTCTCTCCACAGAGCTGGAGATGGCCAAAGCCCGGAACCAGCTGGACGCCGTCTTACAGTGTCTCCTGGAGAAGAGTCACATGGACAGGTCGGGACTTGGTCCTGCGTGGGGGGCAGGGGGAGCTCTGGCGGCCTGAACCCTCTCCTGCCCGGCAGGTCCCAGGGGAAGGGAGCTAGTGGACAGGCCACCTGCTGCCTTCCCACGCCGGGCCTTTGGAGCCCCGAGCCAACGGCTCTCTTCTGTTGCCAGAGAGCGGCTGGATGAGGAAGCCGGGAAGACGCCCTCGGACCCCCACGCTAAGTACGTTGTGTTTTGTTTGGTGGAATCTGATATTGCCTCATCCAAGCCCTGACCGCGTGCCCTGGGCTTCCTGAGTCGTGACGTAGCACCCCCACGTACAGAGATGCTTGGTGGCAGAGCGTGGGGTGGGACACGAGGCCCAGGGCTCGGTGGGGTCAGATGGCCATCTCAGGCTTAATCCCAGTGTCCGCAGGTGCCCAGGGCAAGGCGGGGCAGTGGGTTGAGCAGTGTGTGTTTAGGGGTCGGCCTACTGAAACCCCTTCTCCCCACAGGGATTGCTCCATTGCGGCCACTGGCAAAAGGTAAGGCAGCAGGGACCCCAGCCAGCTCGGGAGAGGCTCCCAGCCCCCACCCAGGCCCTGACACACCTGCCCTCCCCACACAGGCCGTCTGCGCGCTTCCCTCACCAGCGGAGGAAGAAGAGGAGGGAGATGGATGACGGGCTGGCTGAGGGAGGGCCACAGCGGTCCAGTGAGTAGGCAGTGGCCCTGGAGGGTGGGCAGAGAGCCAGGGGGTGCCACGAGGATGCTCAGGTACCTCCCGCCACCCTCTACCCCAGACACGTACGTGATCAAGCTGTTCGACCGGAGCGTGGACTTGGCCCAGTTCAGCGAGAACACACCGCTGTACCCGATCTGCCGTGCCTGGATGCGCAACAGCCCCTCAGTGCGCGAGCGTGAACGCTCGCCCGGCTCCCCACTGCCCCCCCTGCCTGAGGACGAGGAGGTGGGATGGACAGTGGGCCCTAGTGCAGCTGCCAGGAAAGCAGTGGGTAGACGGGCTCCCTCCCCCTAGCTCCTGGGGGGGACTGGCACAGGTCCCTGTGTCCCACAAATGAACGCAGGGCCAAGTGCAGCACACAGATGGGCTCTTGTAGGCTGGGCAGGCAGAACCCTGGCCTGAGGGGAAAGCAACAGATAAATGTGACCCCCAAGGTAAAGGGTCCCCAAGAGCTGAGAGGCTGGATGGGTTGTTAGTGGCCTGGGGGAGCAGGGGTAGATGAGGTTCTGGTATCTGGCTAGAGATGGCAGCCAGGGGTCTCCAGGATGTACGGAGATGACTCTGAACTCTCAAGGCGGGGTAGGAATCCCCAGAGCAGACAGGGACACCTGGCCTGGGGAGTGACGTGAAGGGGTCCCTTGGTGACACATAGGGGGCCCCTTAGGAATCCCTGAAGCTGACAGGTGTAGATGGGCATCCCTGGGTGAGGGTGGACAGGGCTTCCTGGCTAGAGAGGAGAAAAAACGGATCGCCCAGGGTAAACACACCTGAGCTCTGGGCTGGGCAAGGTGTCTGCCCTTCAGGTCCTTCGTCACTGGGAAAAGCAGGAGGATGAAGCGGATACTCCTTGCCCTCTTATCTGACTTCCTCGGGCCTGGCTTGGGGCCCTTGTATCCCAGGGTTCAGAGGTCACCAATAGCAAGAGTCGTGACGTGTACAAGCTGCCTCCACCCATGGCCCCTGGGCCACCCGGAGACGCCTGCAGAACCCGCATCCCATCCCCGCTGCAGCCGGAGACCCAGGGCACCGCCGACGATGAGGTGGGTATAGAAGGCTGGCCCGGGGCTCAGGGGGCTGTGCTGGGGGGCTTGGCCACCCAGCCTGGCTCTGTCTGTGCACACAGCCTTCCGAGCCCGAGCCTTCGCCCTCCACGCTCATCTATCGCAACATGCAGCGCTGGAAACGCATCCGCCAGAGGTGAGCGGCCCCCAACCTGCCCCCTCCACCGGCGTCTGATGGACTTGCTAAGTCCTCCCCGCCCCGCCCCAACTCCCCAGGTGGAAGGAGGCGTCTCATCGGAACCAGCTCCGCTACTCGGAAAGCATGAAGATCCTTCGGGAGATGTACGAGCGACAGTAGCGTTCCTGCCCCAATAAACACCCTCAGTTCCACACTGACCATCGTCCTGCCCGTCCTTTCCAGCCCAGACACAAGGCGGCTGGCACAGCTCTAGCACATTTATTGGGGGGGGGGGGGTCTAGAAGGGAGGGGGAACAGGGTGGTTGGTGAGTGATTCAAAGGGGCAAAAGGTCGCGGGAAATCAGAGTGGCTGGTGGGTTGGGTCCTGGAGGAGGAGAGGGGTGTGGAAGGCGGGCTGCCTAGGGTGTCTGGTCGGAGACCTGGGGTCAAGACAGACTGGTGGGAGGTGGGGAGGGGCCTGGGAACAGCTGTGCAGAGGCCGTCTGGTTGGGGTGCTGGTTGGCCTAGGGTAGGTGTCCAAAGGTGGGCAGTCAGGGGAGTTGGAGTCTGGGGGTTTCAAGTCAGAAAGGGGGCCGCAGGAGGGTGGGGTGGCTGGTTGCAGGGGAGGGTTGCAGAGGCCTGGGACGAGGCTGTTGGGCCTGTGCCGTCGGGGCTGCTTACCTGTGGGGGATTACGCCCGCCCCACTGGCCTAGGGGCCGGCAGGGATGGAGTGGGGTGTGGGGATGTCCTCACAGAGCAGTCAGACGGAGCAGAGTCTCGAGGGGGCGATGGGCCAAGAAAGTGGGGTGGGTGCACAGGAGACTGGAGGGTGAGGGTCTGACACCTGGGGGTGGAGGGGAGTGTGGGTGGCAGGGGAAGCATCTGGGGGGAGGGGTCAAGGCAGGATCTCAGATTGGGTGGGGATGGTCTTGGCGAGCTCACGACTTCTGGCTGGGCGGAGTCAGATCGGCTTTAAAAGAGGGAGCTCCAGGCAGCTCCCGGGGCTCAGGCATGCCTGAGACCCCTACTTGGCGGCAGCTGCGGGCGGCAGTGGGGCCTGCGCCGGTGCTGGAGCGGCCTGGATGGACAGGACGCCCTCGGGAGACAGCGCCGACGTCACGGCGGCAGGGTCCACGCCAGATGGCAATCGGTAGCGGCGGTGGAACTCGCGCGCGATGAATCCATGCTCGTCCTAGAAGGCACGCAGGCGTGAGCGGCGCCGGCCTGCGGAGCGAGGGAGCGCACAGGTCCCGGCCCCGCCCCCGCCCCGCGCTCACCGGGCGCTCCTCGTGGCGCGCGTGCACCTCCACGTGGTCGCCAACCACCTTGACAGCTATTTCTTCCGGCGAGAAGTGCTTCACGTCCAGCAGCACGGAGAAGTGGCCGGGGTCCGTGGGCACCTGCGCACAGCCGTCCGGGGTGGGGCTGTCATGGGGCGGGGCCCTGGAACTGGGGAGCCCCCTGTCCTACCCTGGGTCACTGAGGACCTCTTCACCCGGAATCACCAGATGCCCCTCCCTCACAGTGATGGGCCCCCATCCCCTCCAAGGTCAGGGACCTACGCTAGGACGTCACCCAGGGAGACCGGACCTCCCGCCTCTCAGCAGCTAGGCACCGGACCCTCCCTCAGCCTGGCCCTTCCCAGCACCAACAACTCTCCGCCCCTCTGCAGTCACCGCCCCGCCCCTCCCCCTCAGAGTCTGGGTCTCCAGTCTCCTTCAGGATCTCGAGACATGAGACATCCCTCAGAGTGACTGCTTCCGTCCTATTAGTGGCCCAGCCCTTCCACGCCCCCTCAAAGCCACCTGACACCCTTCGACCCCTGTCCCCTTACCCAGAGCAGTAGGGGACCACTCCCCCACCCCCTCACCCCCCCACCCCCGGCTTCTGAGTGGCCTATTCTGTCTATTCAAAGTCAACAAGGCCTTGCGAGTAGTCGAGTGGTCGCTACCGCCCCCTCCCCCAGGCCTGGCACCTGAGCGGTGGGCAGCGCCACGCTGGGTGCGCGCAGATAGTAGGGGGCGAACGCGGCCGGGCAGAGCGCAGCCAGCTCGGCCTCCAGCAGTCCCTCGCCGAATCGCTGGTCAAAGAGGCGGCCCGGCGCGGAAAACCCAGGCACCGGAGCCGAGGCACGGCGCAGCCAAGACGGCTGCACAGGCACCGGGATCTCCATCCTGCTCCGCCACCGCCGCCCTGGGTCCCGCAGTGCCCCTGCGTGTGCGGCTGCGGATTTATAGGACGCCTTGCGCCGGCCCCTCGGCGGCCTCCCAGGGACACTGGGACCGCAGCCAGGCCTGGCCATTAGTAGAGCCTTATTTAGAAACCCCAACAATGACTTGGCCATTTATTAAGCGCCTGCTGGGTGCCCGGTAAAGGCCGGCAGGGAGGTGTCACTAAGATCCCCCCAATTTCGGGAAAGGGACGCTAAGGCTGAAGCGGCGGGTATTGGGAGCACAGCGCGGGATCTGGGACCCTGGGCTCAGGGAGTCCATCCCCTGGCCCCCTGGCAGCTCTGAGGATGACGCAGATACAGATCTTAGGAGCAGATTCCGGAGAATGCAGTAGCTGAGCCAGGTTGTCAGGAGGACACAGAACAGAACCAACCCCGGGCCTCGGCCAGGACTTGGGCGCAGTCCCCGGGCAGGCCGGCCCTAATTCTGTGCCTCTGACTCAGCCCCGGGTGCGCAGCGGCCAGGGGGCGTGAGCACCAGCACTCCGGGTTGGCCCCCCCAGAGGCCGCGCGCTGGGGCCCGAAATAGCTCGTTTTGATCCCAGTACCTCGGCCAGGAGCCCAGGCCTGGCAACCAGTGCGGCCAGCTGCCCCTGTAGCAAGAGGTTAGCGTGTAGATGACCATCGGGGCCAGCTGTCTGGCCCAGCTGATGGACGACGGTGATTAGGGAGGGGACAGACTCTTGACTGCCCCCCTGATATGGTAGGACAGCGGCTAGACCTGAGCAGAAACAGGGAGGACTTTCAGAACGCGAGACTGCAGGAGACAGGAGTCCGATCGCCGCCAACCTCAAGCCGACTCAGGTCTTTTTCTTCATTGGTCCAAGAGCTTGCCAATTACGACTGCACGCTGCAAATTCTCCAATCAAATATGTTCTTTCTAGCAAGACAACGTTACAGCCAATCGTTTTCCAGATACTTTATATTTTCCTCTCTATCATTGGTCGCCTCGGAGGCCACTCTTTTCCTTCGCCGGCACGCCCAGAAAGGGGCAGGGCTGATGGGACATTGCTAAGCGACCGAGATGCCGGCGGGGTCCGTCCGGTGACCCCAAGAGCGGAAGCGCTGAGGTAGCTGCGGAATGGACCGCAGGTGAGGCCAGCCCCTCTTCCAGAGACCACAGGACACCTGGGGAGGACCCAGGACGAGGGCAGCGCGGAATCTCTCGGGCTCAGCGGCACTGCAAGTGCAACAGCCTTAGCCCTCAACATCCGGGGGGTTCCATAGACGTTGTACGTTGCCCTTTCTGGGTGGCTCCAAGAGTTTCTCCAAGGGCGTCCGAGGGCAACTTGGGAGCTGGCCCCCGACACCCGGGAGTGCTGGTCTTCGGACTTTCTCGCCGAGGCGGAGCCCAGGGAATTATGGGGATCGGAGTCCGTCTACACTAGGGGAACGTGTATGCCCCGTAGGGTCTCGTCGAGGTTCTTAACCCCAGCGCCCCTTCAGAATCACCTGGGACTCTGCGGAACAAAACAAAAATATATGGCTGTCTGGCCCCGCCTCCTGATATCTGATTACGTTGGTCTGGGGGGTGGGGGAACGGCATGTCTCTTCTAGACTGGACTCAGGGTTGAGAACTAGCGGCTCCCCGGCCCTGGGCCCTTCTAAGTCTGCTACAAGGATTCACGGGACTCGCCCCTCCCTGAATGTCCCGAGTGCTCCAGGAAAGTTAGAGTCGCTCTCCTCCAGGAATCCCCGGCAGCCGCGTGGCTCTGCCCTCCTCATCCCCAGCAGGGCCCGAGGCTGCGGTGCCCACGCTCAGCCTGCCAACCCCCCTGTCGCCTTAGCAGCCTGCCGGCTCTCTCTATCCAAGACAGAGCGCCTGGAGGTGCTTCCCCGGGTCGAAGCCGCTACTGGTCATCTGGAGGCCGGACGTGGTGCTCCAAGGTAAGGAAGTAGCCCAGGAGCAAGGAGTGAGCCCTAGAGACACTGAGGATGCGCTAAGGAGACAGACCCTCACCCACTCCCCACAGCCCTGAGCTTGTCTTGCTCTCGGCCGCCTGGACCGCTCATCACAGCCCCAGCCACTCTAGGCCATTGACCGCTTCGGGATGGAGCCCTCACGTGTGTCTCCATTGCCCTGCAGGGATGACTTGGCAGACCTCACCTTTGCTCCCTGTGTTTTCTCCCCTCTTAGACCCTGAGCCCATCCAGGTCCCAGAGGTCCAGGCTCCCACAGGCTCCCAAGGCTGCAGCCACAGGTCCCACCTCCCCTGAGCCATCGGAGGAGTCCTGGCCGTCCAGTTCAGGGACCCCTTCCCCACCCGCCACCACTGAGGGACACACGGGGGCCTCCCCGTCACCTCCCCTGATTGACAGCGGGGATTCCGTGGTGGCCAAGTGAGTACCAGCAGCCCTGGTAGGACAGGAGAGATGGGGTTGGGGGGGGACATCCCATAATACAATACTCACTGCAGACAGAGCAGCTTGTGCAGTGCATTTGTAGGGCCGGGCGTGTGTGTTATTGAGAACTCTGGAGCCAGAATGCCTGGGTTTCAGTCCCACCGCTCTCTGTGCGACCTTGGCCTTGGTGTCTTTCTCTGTAAATTGGGGTTTCTTTCTTTCTTTTTTTTTTTTTTTTTGTTAAGGTTACACATTAACCTATGTTATATCTTTTTTTTAAAGATTTATTTATTTATTTGAAAGTCAGAGTTACACAGAGAGAGGAGAGGCACAGAGAGAGAGAGAGAGAGAGAGAGGTCTTCCATCCGATGGTTCACTCCCCAGATGGCCGCAACGGCTGGAGCTGTGCCGATCCGAAGCCAGGAGCTTCTTCCTGGTCTCTCACTTGGGTGCAGGGGCCCAAGGACTTGGGCCATCTTCTACTGCTTTCCCAGGCCACAGCAGAGAGCTGGACAGGAAGTGGAGCAGCTGGGTCTCAAACCGGCCCCCATATGGGATGCCGGCGCTTCAGGCCACAGTGCTGGCCCCAAATTGGGGTTTCAATAGCATACATTCCCTAGTGATAATTTTAGCTGGTAGTGAGATGCTGTATATAATGACCTATACCAATTCCTGTCACGTGGTGAGCAGCTGGATTTGTAGGACACAGGTTCAGTTGCTGGAACAGAGCCCCAAATGAATCACGGCTTCAAGGTAGCACTATTTCTCCCTCGTCTGCCAGTCCAGGCAGAAGCAACCGGCGCTGATATGGCAGCCCCTTGTGGAGGTGCCAGGGACTTTCATCTTGTTGCTGTCCCATCCCCAAGCCGTTGCCCGTAATTCACAGGCCAGAATGGCGCCCAGCCCTGTTGACATTCCAGAATCACTTCTTCAGACCCCTTTTGTCCATAACCTAATCATAGGGTCCCAGGACTGCAGGTGACCCAGGCAGTACATTCTGTAGATGAGTGGCTGTGTGCCCAGCTACAAACTTGCGTTACTGTATACGAAGGGAAAATAGCTGACCAAGGACCGCTGCTTGGATCTGCCATGGTACCTGGTAAACGTTGGTCATTGTGATTATGACTGTTTTATATATATACATATAAAAATATATATATTTATACATATAAATTTATACATATAAATTTATATGTATAAATATATATTATATATGTATTAAATATATATTATATATATTTTACTCTTCTCACCTCACTAACCCTCCCTCCCAGGTACATAAACAGGTTCCGCCAAGCTCAGCCCACCAGCCGAGAGGAGCGCAAGCCTGCAGGTGCGACCCATGCTGACTTTTGGTGGCTGCAGCCCGAGCCTCCAGTCCCCAGCAGTGAACTTGCAGCAGGTACCTCCTTCGGTTCCTTCCAACCCGGCCCCCCCACCGCTGGCCTCAAACCTTTCCCGATCAGTGTCCCCCTCACCCCCCCCCCCCCGAGTAGCCACTCCTCTTGGCTCCCATAACACGACTAAGTTTTTCAGCAGGAACTAACAAGCCAGAGGAAAGACCAAATCCAGCAGTTCCAACCCCTGCCATGGCGGCCAGTGCGTCCCGGGCTGTGGCTCCCCTGCAGGAAATGAAGCAGGTGACCGCCCCACCCGCGCCCTCCCTCGTCTGCCTGAACTGGCAGCACCAGGTCTGGGGTAGAAGTGGAGCCGGTCCCCCTGCAAGGACGCTTAAAGGGAAAAAGCATTTGTTGGCAAATGTCACTGGGAAATCCAAAAGGAGCTGCTTTCAGGCCTGGCTGAATCCAGGCGTCTGAACAACCCAGCCGGCTCCACTCTGTGTTCTCTCGTGGGCTCAGTCGCAGAGGAGCCACGGTGGCCTGCAGGGGCTCTCGGCTCCCATGGTATGAACTCAGCTAATGCGGTGGAAAGTGGGAGTTTTTCCAGTAGCGCCAGGCGTACTCTCTTTCACTCATCCTTGAGCCAGTGGCAGTGAAGCAGAGGATACGGTGTTTGGATTAGGCAGGCCTAGGCAGGGAGGTGGGGCCAGTCCTTCTCCAGCGACAGGGACCTGCACACGAAGCGGGTAGCTCCAAAGAGCAAAGCTGGGGCTCTGTTCCCCGGGGAGGAAGAGCAGAAGCCGATTACGGGGAGCAGGGGTGCGGGGACAAAACTTTGTCCAGAGTCCCTCTCCCAGCAGCCTTTGGGATGGGGACTGGCACCTGACCCCTGTCGTCCCTCAGAGCCTCAACACATGGAACTCATCCCTGCTGGACCTGGAGACGCTGAGCCTCCAAAGGAGAGCCACCAAGCTGCTGCGACGCAGGTGCCTCCGCCACGCCCTTCGGCCTCTTCACGCCCGCGGCCGGCGGCTAGCAGCGGCCTCCGAGCCCGCCCTGCCTCCCTTCTGCTTCTCCCCGCAGCAAGGCCTCCACCTCCTCCTCCTCCTTCAGCCCGAGCGACGCCAGCAGTGCCTCGTTCCCCGTCAGCTCCGATGGCCTCTCTGCCTTCTCCATGACCTTCACCCCTGAGTCCGGCGAGGGCTCTGCCCCCAGAGAGCCTGGTAAGCTTTAGGAGGCAAGGACGGAGGGCCCGGTGCTGCCCCTTAGCCGCCGGGTGCCTCTGGGCCTCTCTGGGCCTTGGTTCCCCGGCTGTAAAGGGGGGACACTAATTATATTCCTGTCCTGTGGGCGTCGTGAGGATTAACTGAGTGAGACCATGGGGAGCACAGCACAGCTCTGTCGACAGGAGCCGTCTGAGCTCGACAAGTCTGCAGTTCTGAACACAAAGCTGCAAAACCAGGAGGCTGATGGCAGATTTGGCACCCCCTGCTTTGCCGGCAGACTCTGACCTAAAGAACATGGGCCTATTTCTTTCTTTTTTTTTTTTTAATTACATTTCTTAGCAGTGAACTCCTTTTTTTGTTTTAATATTTATTTATTTGTTTGAAAGGCAGAGATACTGAGAGGCAGAGAGAGGGAGGGAGGGAGGGAGGGAGGTCTTCCATCTGCTGGTTCACTCCCAAATGGCCGCAATGGCCAGAGCTGGGGTGATCCATAGCCAAGAGCCAGGAGCCTCTTCTGGGTCTCCCATGTGGGTGCAGGGGCCCAAGGACCTGGGCCATCTTCTACTGCTTTCCTAGGCCATAACAGAGAGCTGGATTGGAAGTGGAGCAGCCAGGACTCGAACTGGCACCCATATGGGATGCCGGCACTGCAGGCAGCGGTCTTACTCGCTGCACCACAGTGCCGGCCTTATGAGTCTATTTCTAATCTATATTGTTCTCATTTAGAGCGAATACTCATACCTTTTGCTGTTGTATATACTATATTGAACCAACTGGAACATTTTTTAAGTAAAGCGGTGGAATATTGGCAGTCTCATGTTTCAGTTAGACACCAGCGTGTCTGAGCGTGGCATGTGGCCCCAGGCGCAGGTCTGTGCCTTGCACACCGTGCCACTTGGCTGAATCATGCAGGCTGTGGCGCTCCCAGGACTTCAGAGGCAGGGTTAAGGTCCTGGGTTACTATTATCGTCGTCACTGTTGGGACGATGTTACCCTGTGCCCAAGTCTTGGGCTGCAGTGGCGCCTGGACAGTTGCTGTCGGGGTCTCGCAGGGCTCCCGTGAGCAGGGCGAGGCAAGCACAGGTTAACAGAGAGACATCTGTGCGTGTGTGTGATCCTGCCCAAGGACTCACCTGTCTGAGTCTTCACCCTTTTATTCACCTCTCCTTCCTGAGCCTCAGCTTTCTCATTCATAAAGTGGGGATAAAGTTGGTTACTTACGTCATCGGTTGCTTTGTGGTTAAATTTATTCATTCATTGAACTGACATCGAATCCCACTGTGTGTGAAGCCCTGTGCGCAGGACTGGAGAGGCCACAGCACACCAAGCATGCATTCCCACCGTCAGGGACCTCACAGCGTAGTGGGTGTGGGGCTGAGAGCAGTCGCATGGTCCCACAGCGAGGGTGAACCACACAGAAATAAAGGACACACAAGAGAGGACTGCGGAGCTTGCAAGTCAGGGGGCACTTCCTGGAGGAGACGCCACTGAAGGAGAGACCTGAGCGATGCAGGTGGGCGTAGACAAGAGCCTTCCAGCACGCACAGTGGACCCGAGGGGCTGCAGGGAGAGGGTGCCCACAACGGACAGGAGAAAGCAAGAGGCAGGGCTGAGTAGTGTGTCATCAGGGAGGAGAGGTCGGCAGAGCCCCGATTGCACTGGGCCGTGCAGGTAAAGCGAGGCATTTGGTTCTCCTGTTCTTGCCACCAGGGAGCCTCGGGGGAGTTGGGGGCATGGAGGGGACATGATCTTTCTTGGGTGTTGACAGATTCTGTCTGGCTGCTCCCAGCACCTGTGAGAGATGCTGGTGGTTTAGCTTGGGCCAGAGCTGAGGAGCCCGGAAGTAGAGCCACAGGATGTGGGAGGGGACAGGGCGGGAGAGGCCTGGAGTGGAGATCCCCTTGTCTGTGCAGCGTGAGCTGGCAGGGCCCCCAGGAGACGAGGGCAGCTCTACTGATCGGGACTGACACAGTGATGCCTTGCATGATGGAACATGCCTGCCTCGCTGGACTGATGTCCGCCCCTGCCCCTGCCCTCCGTCACTGCTGTCCCCAGGGCTGAGCCGTGGCCCGGAGCACACTAAGCAGTTCATTTTGCATTCATGCCACAAATACCAATTGCACAGGGACTGGTTCTGGACACTGGCGATATGGTAATGGACAAGATGGACAAAAATCGTGACCTCTGTGTACCCGGCCTGGTGGCAGGGGAGACAAATACCAAACAGGGCAGGGAGCACATATTCAGGGTGTGAGAAGGGGGTGAGGTCGCGGGGGATGAGGGGGTGGGGGCGGGGCTGGGGCAGTCAGGGGAGGTGACATTTGGCAAAGCTCTGAGGCTGTGAAGGAGCCCTGGGGTACGTGAGGGAAAGTGTTCCAGGCACGAGCCAAAGGCCTCCACACTTCTCCCCGGAGTGACCTGCGGCTAGGACGGGGGTGGGTGGCATAACCAGGAGGCCGTACTGCGACTCGGTGGTCACATGCTTTCTCTGGCTGTGCGTGGGGCAGACTTGGGTGAGCAGAGGAGACCGCGTGGGGTGAATGGAGGTGGACTAGTGCAAGCAGAGGCAGGTTCTGGAGACGCTGGCTTGCGGTGTAACCGCAACGTGCAGATCAGGGCCTGGCTGGGAGGAAGAGCTCAGTAAGTGTGTGCTGGATGCATGAACAGGTGAGTGACGGCGATCGAGAGGCCCAGGAGTGCCCACCTCTCTGCCCCCCTCCCCCCAGGAGCTGGGACGCTGTCCAGGCAGGACAGCCGTTGGAGGGACCCCTGGTTCGGTGGAAGGTGTCTGTGCAGTTCTCACCGGGTTGCGGATCCTCCTGCACCTGCCTCACCCTCTCCCTTCTCTCTCCCCAGCAGCCCCTGCGCCGGCCCAGGCCGCCACCCCTGCGCCAGCCCCCACCTCCTCCCAGGCACCCCTTCGCCCAGAGGATGACATTTTGTACCAGTGGCGGCAGCGGCGGAAGCTTGAACAGGCTCGAGGGGGCCACGGAGATGGCCCCTGGGTGCTGCCCCAGACCGTTCCTGTGAGTTGGCGGGAGGGGGGAGCCCGAGGGCCCTCTGCCCTCCTCCTCTCCTCCTCAGGCCCCTCCTCCCATCTCTTCACAGACCTCGTCTGGCCCTGCGGTGACCTCTGGTCCCCTGGGGACCCAGCCTAGCTCCGTCCCACCGTGGGGCGGCGTGGCCCGGCCTGGTCCCCCGGAGGCCTTCTATGTGGAGAGGCATCCTGTTCCCCATGGGTGTCCTCCACATATCTTCTGGGCTCCCAATCCTCATGGGTTTTTCTGGGCCCCACAGTCTGGTCCCTGGGTATCTCTTGGGACTGTGCCTCCAGTACCACTGGCCCCCACTCCAGCTCCCCTGGCCTCTAACCTGGCTCCCCCAACCCCTGCCTCTGCTCCCCCAGCCCCCACCCCAGCTCCCCTGGCCTCTAACCTGGTTCCCCCAACCCCTGCCTCTGCTCCCCCAGCCCCCACCCCAGCGCCCACTGCCTCCACCCCAGCTCCCCTGGCCTCTAACCTGGGTATACAAACCCCTAATCTCTGCTCCCCAGCTCCTATAGCCCCCACTCGGGTCCTCTAGTCTAAATCTTGGCTACGTTGGGAGTCGGCCAGACATCCTCAGCTGCTCCCCAGGGCCTGCCCACCAGTGAGCCCAGCAGCTCCGTCCGGCTTGAGAAGCTGGGCGCCAAGCCCCGGAAGGGCAGAGCCCCGTGCCGGGAGGCTGCTGTCCAAGTCTCTGCCGTTGATGCTGACGAGGGACCTGACCCACAGCTCAGAGGCGCCCTCGACCAGGTGGTGACTGACCGGCTGTTCCGGGACAGCCTGGAGGACACGCCCCCTCGCCTCGTGGACCCACCTCCACCCAAGGCCACACCCCTCCGAGCCCGGGTCACGCCCCCTCTATCTGAATCCTGCCGTCCCTCTAAAGCCAAGGCGGGGTCCGCCCCCTGCAAGGGCAAAACCACTCCGGGGACTGACGTTGGGCGCCTGCCGCCCGAGGCCCCACCCCCTGCAGCTGCGGAGCCCTCTGCGCTCACCAAGGCCGCGCCATCCGAGTTCAAGGTGGACTCTCCTGAAGCTGTGGCCACGCGGTCTCCGGCTGCGGCCCCTGCCCACCCTGAGGATGTCCTCTGCCAGGCCGCCCAACTTCTGCAGGCGGCTGACGGTGAGCCCGGGGCGCCAGCGCCCGGCCCTCGCGGAGCCCCGCGGCCGTTCCCTCCCTGAGCCCGCCCCCTGGAGCTCACTCTGTTCCCCCCAGACTCCGATGGCAGCGAGTTCCAGGATGACCCCGTGCTACAGGTGCTAAGAGCCCAGAGGGCAATGCTGCGACAGCAGAAAAGGTGACCCCCCACCCTGGGCCCTGCGCCCCCTGGGACCCTGTCGGGCACCCACCCCTCCTGAGCTTTTCCTAAAGCCCCTGCATAGCCCCAGACCAGTCTTCAGCATATACCCCAGCCTCTGCTCCCTGGCTTTTCTCTAGGAAAGTGGACGCCCAGTTGTCTCTCCTACTGGACTCAGCAGAAGACGCGGGGTCTTGGTCGCCACCAGCCAGGTCTCCCCCCAGGTCCCCAAGGAGGCGGCTGAGGAGGGAAGGAGCCTCCCTGGAGGCCAGGCGGCTCTGAGTTGTATAAATTCTGTTTTGCCCAGTGAGACACTGTTTCCGGGTTGCTGATTATCGGAGAAAAGGGCTTGTTCTGGAAAGCCCAGGCAGGGTGCTAATGGGAGGCAGCGGCCTCGGAGGCGCTGCCCCTCCCACCCCGGCTCCCCTGACCGGTGAAGCAGTCTTTCCTGGCTTCATCTTCCTTAGCCGGAGGTGGGCCACTTCCAAGCCAAACCTGAGCAACACTGGGACCCACTTGTCGATACTCAGCTCAGGAGTGGATGGACACAAAGGGCCTGGCGTCTGGGCAGGGGGCCGCTGGGGTGTTGGACAGGCCGTATGCTGCGGTGGCAGCAGCGATGTGTGGTGCAGCTGGGCCCTCCCCCTGCAGCTCTCTTCCCCTCCTCCCGGAATGCATCTCCTTACCTCTCTGGCCATGCCTCCTCCTCGTCCCAGTGGGCCAGCTTCAGCCTGTTCCGGGATCCTGGCTGAATTCTCTCCCCACACTCGCTCACTCTCAGGTGCTCTTGCCTAGCCTCATGGCTCTAAAACCCATCTCTCTGCCGAGTCCCAAAATTACTGTCTCGAGCCTACACCTGGCCCTAAGAAACATCTCAAATTCCATAGGCCCTAAACTGAGCCCCCAGTCTCCCACCTAAACTTGTTCCTCCTCCACTTCTAGCCGCTAAGACCAAAAAGCCTCAGTTGTCCCTCTCTCTCCCGCTCAGCCCATGTCCCTGGCACTTCTCTCTCTCCCACCCAGTCCACCAGCAGATCCTGTCTTTGCCTTCAAATTCTGTTCCGACCTCAGTGCCTTCTCCCTTCTTCCTCTGCCCTCACCTAAGTCTAGGCTGTTACCACCTCCTCCCTGGACTAGGGAAAACTTACCTTTAGTCTGAACTTATCCACACCTGCTTTGATACACTTGTCATCAAGAGATAGAGTCTACATTCCATCACCTTGCAACTGGGCCCCTTGTAAACACAACACAGAGGGAGTGGTGCAGCTGAACTTCCCGAGTTCAGTTAGAGGAGATGCAGGCAGGGCAGGTGTGTGGCGTGGTGGTTAAGCTGCTGCCCTAGAGGCCCACATCCTGTATTGGAGGGCGTGGCTTGAGCCCCGGGTGCTCCGCTTCCACTCCAGCTTCCTGCTGGTGTGCACCCTGGGAGGCACAGGGGCTTTAGTCCCTGACACCCATGTGGAAGACTCTGATGACATTCAGGGCTCCTGGCTTTGGCCTGGAGAGCGAACCAGTGAATGGAAGAATCCCCCTCCCCCTCGTCTCTCTGCCTTTCATACCAAATGAACATAAAAATCAGTAACAGATACTGATAGGGTCTGCCTGGTTTCCTCGCGGAGATGACAGGCATGTAAGACTGGTTACAGAGGCCTGCATTGTAGTGCAACAGGCAGGCCACCACCTGCACGCCAGCAGCCCAGAGGGTGCTTGTTCGAGTACTGCCTGTTCCCAGCTGATGGCCTGGGAAAGCAGCGGAGGATGACCAAAGTCCTTGGGCCCCTACACCTACGTGGGAGACCCGGAAGAAACCCCTGGCTCCTGGATTTGGCCTGGCCCAACCCCAGCCATTGCAGCCATTTGGGGAGTGAACCCACAGATGATGGAAGATCGATCTCTCTTGATTTCAAATAAATAAATCCTAAACAAAAAATCCTGGTTTCCTGGGGCCAGTGTTGTGGCATAGTGGGTAAAGCTGCCCCCTGCAGTGCCAGCATCCCATGTGGGCACTGGTTCAGGTCTCAGCTGCTCTACTTCCAATGTGGCTCTCAGCTATGACCTCGGAAAGCAGTGGAAAATGGCCCAAATCCTTGGGCACGTGCACCCACATGGGAGACCCAGAAGAAGCTCCTGGCTTTGGATTGGCACAGCTCCAGTCATTGCGGCCATCTGGAGAGTGAGCCACTGGATGGAAGACTTCTCTCTCTGCTTCTTTCTCTCTCTGTGTAACTCTGACTTTCAAATAAATAAATCTTTTAAAAAACAAAAACCTGGTTGCCATGTTGGGGAGGATTTTGGATTCTCAAACTCAATGAAATTTATGAATCTAATTGTATTTAAGGTCCACCTCAAAAGAAAAACTATTCAACTCCAGTTAAAGATGTACCAAAGGGCCAGCACTGTGGCCAGAGATGGAAAATATGCCACCAGAATGGGTTTGATATCTGATAAGAAAGAAAGAGGATACATTTCTAACAGCAGATTCTTTATGTCCCAGACAGTGAATATGTTCAGCCTTTTTGTTGAACAAACCATATGTTTAGATGAAATCAACAAGAAGGAAATACCTGTTTTGATGTAAGGAGAAATGCACCATGTTCATAATAACAGAACCTGATTTAATTGGGAGGGTAGGGGGTCCTAGAAGGGTTCCTGAGTTAGAGTTACAAATTATCGAAGTTGACAAGGCCATCGTAATCACTGTTGCTAGGTAACAAATCACCCCCAAAACTAAATGGCATAAAACAATGTTCACAGGTACTGTGAAATTTGGACAGGACACTGGGGACAGTTTGTCTCTGCTCCATGGTGTCTGGAGGTTCAGTTGGAAAGACTCAAAGGAGACTTGAGAGCGGTGGGCTGGAATCTTCTGGAACTTCTCCACTCACAGCCTGGGACCAGAGCTGAGGTGACTCAGAGGCTGAGGCTTCACTGCACTGCCTGGGCGTGGTCTCTGCGCTGGCCTGGGCTTCCTCACATCATGGCTGCCACAGCGTCTCGTGCTTCTCCCACGGTGCCCCCGGCTCTGTATTTGATCTTCCCCGTGCTCTGGGAGGACACTGCACTGCCTTGGGAATCACAGCATCACTTCCACTATTCCCTGTTGGTGGAAGCTTCACAAGTTTTTCAGGATTGGAGCAGGTACACACTCCAGCTCTCGAGGACAGGAGGGTCAAAGAATTTGCAACTGTTTTTCTGTTTTTTTTTGTTTGTTTTTGTTTTTGTTTTTGTTTGATAGGCAGAGTGGACAGTGAGAGAGACAGAGAGACAGAGAGAAAGATCTTCCTTTTCTGTTGGTTCACCCCCCAATGGTCGCTGCGGCCAGCGCACCGTGCTGATCCGATGGCAGGAGCCAGGTGCTTCTCCTGGTCTCCCATGGGGTGCAGAGCCCAAGCACTTGGGCCATCCTCCACTGCACTCCCTGGCCACAGCAGAGAGCTGGCCTGGAAGAGGGGCAACCGGGACAGAATCCGTCGCCCCGACCGAGACTAGAACCTGGTGTGCCGGCGCCGAAGGCGGAGGATTAGCCTAGTGAGCCGTGGCGCCAGCCTCTTTTCTTTTTTTTTCTTTTTTCTTTCTTTCTTTTTTTTTTTTAAAGATTTATCTTATTTGAAAGGTAGAGTTACAGAGAAGCAGAGAGAGGGAGAAAGGTCTTCCATCCACTGGTTCACTCCCCAAGTAGCTGCAATGCCCGAGCTGAGCCGATCCGAAGTCAGGAGTCAGGAGCTTCTTCCGGTTTCCCATGTGGGTGCAGGGGCCCAAGGAACTGGGTCATCTTCTGCTGCTTTCCCAGGCCATAGCAGAGAGCTGCATTGGAAGTGGAGCAGCCGGCCCTCGAACTGGCACCCATATGGAATGCCGGCACTGTAGGCATTGGCTTCACTCGCTATGCCACGGCGCCGGCCCCTAAGAGTCTAGATTGCAAAGTATTTGTTTCGTTCATTTTCTATCTTCTTGCACTTTGCTTTCGAATTGCGGTGAGGATGGGATATGTTTTTACGTGCTTTGATATGGACGTATCCACCAAGTCAGTGGCCAGAATGAATGAATGAACCGAGGCGAGTCCTCCGTGGTGAGGGCCCGCGGAGAGAGCCTTCTAGGAAAAGCCGTCGTTACAGTGCTGCTGGTCGGTGGCGGGAGTATATGGACCTGCCTTTACAGCATGACCGCGTCGCTGGCATTGTGGGCTCCACCCTTTCCTAGGACAAGGAGCCAAAGCTGGAGGCGGAGCCGTGACAAGGACAATGTCCAGGGGGCAGGGCGAGGCCCCGTCGTGGGGAGCCCAGGATTCTGTCCCAGAGAGGGTGCAGGAGCCGATGGAAGGCTCCCGTGGGTGAAGCACCCTCAGGCGCTGTGGGCGGAGTCAGGTCAGGAAGGCCGGGGGAGACTGGGGGGCCAGGACTTGGAAAAGATGCCTGAGGGAGGGAGGGAGGCGGGACCCCCGGGGGAGTCCACTGAGGGAAGCCAGAGGAGCGGTCACCGGGGCTGGACCCACTACACAGGGCTGCAAGTGTCGGAAGCAGAGCATAAAGAACCTGGGGGTGTGTCTCAGGGGTAGACGACAGCCAATGAAAAACAGTCATGGGCGTGGCGCTGTCAAACTTCGGGGGGCGGGATCCAAAAGGCCGAGCCGAGGATGGGGCCCAAGGCGAAGCCAATGAATAGCCACCAAATGGGCGGGGCGTCGTCTAGGGCCGAGGTTGGAGCCAATGAGGAGCGGCGCCGCGTCCCCGCTCTCCCCAAGCCCCTCTGGGGCGCGCGCCGGGGCCACGGGCAGCCGTTAGGGGCGGGGCCTGGAGCCACCCGCGCGAGGCTCGCGCCCTCCCCTTTGTGTCGCCATGGCGGCGGCGGTGGCGGCGACGAGGACGACGAACGAGGGGTCGAGAGCGGCTGGGGCCTGAGGGAGCTACGCGACCATGGTGGTGAGGGGCCCACGAGGCCGTCAGTCTGTCCGTCCGCGTGGCCGTCTGTCCGGGCGCGGTCCCGCCCCGCGCGCCCCGCCCCCAGCCCCGCCCGAGTCCGCGGCCCGCGCCGCCCCTCACCCTCGGTCGCGGTCCCTCCCGTCCTCCGGCCCAGGCCTGGGTCCGAGCCCTCACCGCGACCCCGCCCCCTCAGCTCGCATCCCCTTCCACACCCAGAATGGGGGTGACAGCGGCCGAGGACCGGCCCTCGCGAGCAGGGGCCGGTCCAGGATGGACGCGCGCCAGCCCAGTGGCCCCCGCAGGGGTCTGCCGCGGCTCGCCGGGGCCCTCGCTAGCCCGGACCCCGGAGCCTCCTCGGCATCCTCACCCCCACATTCACCCTTCCCGGGTCCGGCCCCCTCCTCCTCCCAACAACCCGTTCTCGCTCCTGAGCCCCGCCCCCACGGGCTCCAGCCGCAGCCGGACCCTTTTCTTCTCCTCAGCCCACCCTTGTCGCTCTCTAGCCCCCCACTCCCATCAGCCTGAGCCTCTCCCCCGGCCTCTCCAGCCACTCCCCTAGCACCCCACCCCAAGGACCGCGCGGATCCTTGGGTCCTCTCCATCTTCTTGTCCGCCTCCCCCTCCCCCATCGTCTCCGGCGCCCACCATTCTGCTCCCGCTCATTCATCCATTCATTGCCTCATTGCCTTGCTTCACAGACACGCACTGAGCCCTGCTCTGTGCAGGCCCCCTGCGCCAGGCACAGGGAGAGGCAGATCCCATCCTGCCTTGGGGAGCTTCCTGGGCCCGAGAGGGACACGCCCTGAGGGTGAGACCCAGGCAAGGACTCTGGGTGGCAGAGCAGGGAGAAGCTGGAGCCCAGCGTGGTGCGTCCCCATCTGGCAGCTGGTTAATTTATTGTCGGATTTGACCCAGCCCCTGCTGTGTGACTGGGTTAGCCCTGGGCACTGGGGGCCCAGAGGAATCCGGCACCAGCTCTGTGCCCAGCTCTGCACGGGGCGTGCTGGGGTCTCAGCCTGGGGCCTTGCTTCTGGGGCCATCAAAGTCTGGGGGCACAGAGAGACTTGTCACCAGACAGGGGCATTTCAGAGCGTTCACGGCTGTGACGGGGCAAGCTCAGGCGGTCATACAGCTTGGGAGGGAGGACCCTCAGGGGATGGCAAGGGGCCACAAGAGTGCAGCCTGGGGGGCCAGGGAGAACTTCCTGGAAGTGGACGCAGGAGCTGACAATCAAGGGACACAAGGAGGTGTGGCCCTCGCGAAAGGGTGAGAACGAGTGTTCTGGAACACGCAGGGCATAGCCTTTCTGACGCTCTAGAAGGAAGTGAGGCGGTGCTGTTTTGCTGGACTCTTGGAAGCTCAAGCACTCTGAGAACGAGCGCAATGGGAGAGAAAGGGCTGGAGAGGTAAACGGAAACCAGCTTGGGGAAGGCTTGACTGTCAGACCAGAGGCTGCAGACTTCAAGCCCAGGACAACAGGGAGCCAGTGGAGGTGCAGGATCGCTAGAGAGACGGGGCCGGATCTGTGTTTCGTGCCCTTGGGAAGACACAGGAAGACGGAGGAGTTGTGAGCTGTGACTGTGCGGTGTGGTCGGAGGGGACCGCGCCCTGCTGGGACTTCAGAAAGGTTTCAGTGGGGAGAGATGGGAACAGCAACTCTTCCCCGTGGTCTGCCTCGCTCCTGTCCCCTGCCCCTGACCACGCATGAAGCAGCAGGCCTGCCCTCCAGCCGTCACCTCTGCCCAGCCACCCCGTGTCCAGGACAGTGTGTGGGGCAGCCCTGGCCTCTGGCCCAGGCTGGCAACTGACAGTGCTCCTGTTGTCCCTCTGCGCCCACCTCCGGCAGCCTCTGATTCTTCTCTGTCTTGTCCTCAGGCTCGCAGCACCGACAGCCTGGATGGCCCAGGAGAGGGTTCAGTGCAGCCCCTGCCGGCCCCCGGGGGCCCCAGTGTGAAGGGGAAGCCTGGGAAGAGGTAGGGGTGAAGCAGGGGAAGGCTCAGTGTGGGGGTGCTCACAGGGCCACTGGCGATGTGCCGTCTGTCCCGCAGGCTCTCCGCTCCGCGAGGCCCCTTCCCGCGGCTGGCTGACTGTGCCCACTTCCACTATGAGAACGTGGACTTTGGCCACATTCAGGTATGCGGGGGAGATCCTGCTCAGTGCTGGATGCTGTCAGCGGCTCCGCCCCAGAAGAGCTGCTGCTCCTGTCTGAGCAGTCAGGAGCACGAGGCCCAGGGACGTGGGCAGACGGGGGAGCTGCTCATTCGTTCATCCGTTTGCTCTTGCGTTCACACAAGAGCACCTCTGTTAGGTGCGTGCTCTGTGCCGGGGGCCTGTGCTCCGGCCAGGACATCGCAGGCCGCATTCTCGGGGAAGCCCAGGAGGGGGACAAAAGTGAGGCCCTCACCTGGGCCTCTGCTTCTCCGCAGCTCCTGCTGTCCCCGGAGCGAGAAGGCCCCACCCTCTCCGGAGAGAACGAGCTGGTGTTTGGAGTGCAGGTGACCTGTCAGGTGAGCTCCCACCTCTCCTCCAGCCTGCGGGCGGGCCGCCGCCGTCCTCCGCTCGTGCCATGACGCCACTGTTCCCTTCTGTGCCTCCCCCGCTGCCGCAGGGCCGATCCTGGCCAGTCCTCCGCAGTTACGATGACTTCCGCTCCCTGGATGCCCACCTCCATCGCTGCATATTTGACCGGAGGTTCTCCTGCCTCCCAGAGCTTCCCCCACCTCCAGAGGGCGCCAGAGCTGCCCAGGTACCCCGCCTATTGTCTCGGCTGCAGCTTCCCATCAGTCACCTGTGAACCCACCAAGGCAGGGGGACAGATAGATACTGCAACACTGGCACAGCCCGCGTTCCAACCGCTAAGAATGGAGGGGCCTCAGACGTGGAGCCAAGTTCTGGGGGCTCTAGGATCGTGAGGAGGCCCAAGGGGTTCCATGGGACGGTCAGCAGGGCCAGCCAGCTGGAGCACTCAGGAGCCCTGCCCAACCTGTTTACCCACTGGTGTGACCATGTTTCAGCAGTGAGCAGGTGCCCAGTGGCCCTGCATTCAGGCTGTCAGCCCTCCCCAGAGACGACTGAGGGCAGTCGGGGGGGGGTCCCCGGCTCGCTCAGGTCTGCTCACGGGAGCCCACCCTCACTACCTGCCCCCAGATGCTGGTGCCACTGCTGCTGCAGTACCTGGAGACCCTGTCAGGACTGGTGGACAGCAACCTCAACTGCGGGCCTGTGCTCACCTGGATGGAGGTGGGCCTGAGCACGGGGGCTCGGAGTTGGCAGCGAGTGACGGCTGTCTGAGGGCGGGGACCAGCCAGTGAGTGTGTGTGCGCATAGGAAAGGAAGAGCTCGAGTGGAGGAGGCACTGGTATTTCAGTGTCTGTGTGGGCGCGTGTCTGTGTGTGCGTGTGTGTGTGTGTGTGTGTGTGAGTAGGTGCTGGGCCACGGGAACTGGAGATTTAAAGGTTTGTGCACTAGAAATAGGTCTGGCTGTAACTCGCAGAACACCTGGCTAAGAGTGACTCAGACCAGAGGGTTTCTAGACAGCAGGTGTGCAGTGTCAGCTGTGGAAAATGCAGGTGCAAGGTTCAGGGGGTCTTGGAGGCAAGGGAGTCCTGAGACAAATGAGGGGGACCAGTGGTTTGTTTCAGAGGGGCAAGAAGTCAGGCGTTTGACCAGTATCTCTGGCCATTGCCTGGGCCCCCAACCTGCTACTGTAAGCCAGCTGTTCACCAGCTTGCCCCCTGCAGCTCCCTCCCGTGGAGTGGGGCCTCGAGACTCCCTCAACAGAGAGGGACAGGTGGCAAGGGACAGCTGGTGGCCTCGCTGGGCATGGAGGAACCCTGGGTGCCTTTCTTGACGCCTTCTTTTGGCCTCTCCTTGCCACATCCTGCCTGCATCTCAGCTGGACAATCATGGCCGAAGACTGCTGCTCAGCGAGGAGGCCTCCCTCAACATCCCTGCCGTGGCTGCCGCCCACGTGGTCAAACGGTACACGGCGCAGGCGCCCGACGAGCTGTCCTTCGAGGTGAGGCTGTGGGGGAGCGGACTGCCGCTGGGCTCCCTGGCCCTCCCTTCTCACTCCTCCCCCGCCCCCGCCCTCTCCAGGTGGGAGACATTGTGTCCGTGATCGACATGCCACCCACGGAGGATCGGAGCTGGTGGCGGGGCAAGCGAGGCTTCCAGGTGAGCCTGGCCCGGGGCAGACAGTGGGACTGGGTCCCTGTGCCAGCCCGGGCAGCACAGCCACTGACCCTGACCCTTTCTCAGGTCGGGTTCTTCCCCAGTGAATGTGTGGAACTCTTCACCGAGCGGCCAGGTCCTGGCCTCAAGGCAGGTAGGTGCCAGGCCGGGAGTTGGGGTGGAGGCGAGGGGGAGGCCCTGCTGCATCCTTTGCCACTGTCCACCCTTCCCATCCCTTGTCCACACAGATGCTGACGGCCCCCTGTGCGGCATCCCAGCTCCCCAGGGTCTCTCCTCTCTGACTTCAGGTAATGGAAACAAGGCGTCAGGTCCCTGCCCGCCCCCACCCCAGCACCGGCTAACGCTGTCCCGTGTGGCCCCCCTTGCCTCGCAGCTGTGCCCCGGCCACGTGGGAAGCTGGCTGGTCTGCTCCGCACCTTCATGCGCTCGCGCCCTTCTCGGCAGCGCCTGCGGCAGAGGGGAATCCTGCGGCAGAGAGTATTTGGCTGTGACCTTGGAGAGCACCTCAGCAACTCAGGCCAGGACGGTGAGCCCGGCCCCCACCTCCCTGTGCACCCCCCAGGATGCGACCTGCCCAGCCTGACCTTGCCGCTCTTCCCAGTGCCCCAGGTGCTGCGCTGCTGCTCAGAGTTTATTGAGGCCCACGGGGTGGTGGACGGCATCTATCGGCTGTCAGGCGTCTCCTCCAACATCCAGAGGCTGCGGTGAGGGCCTCCCATGCACCTGACTGAGCGCTGTCTCCATTCCAGTCCTATGCTGTGTGTGGGAGACGGGGGCAGGACCCGGGTGGACCAAGGCGAGGTCAGGGAGGGCTGCTTTGAGCTGAGACCTGAAAGGTGACAATAGAGTTAGTGATTTTTTTAAAAAAGATTTATTTATTTATTTGAAAGGTAGAGTTACAGAGAGGCAGAGAAAAATCTTCCATCTGCTGGTTCACTCCCCAAATGGCAGCAATGGCTGGAGCTGGGCCGATCTGAAGTCAGGAGCCAGGAACTTCTTCTGGGTCTCCCATGCAGGTGCAGGGGCCCAAGGACTTGGGCCATCTTCTACTGCCCTCCCAGGCCACAACAGAGCGCTGGATCAGAAGTGTAGCAGCCGGGACTCGAACCGGCGCCCATATGGGATGCCAGCGCTGCAGGCGGCGGCTTGACCTGCTAGGCCACAGCACTGGGCCCTAGAGGTAGCTTTTTAAGCAGAGGGATCAGCTTTCACTGAACACCTGTGTGTGCCAAGTACTAGGCTCTGGGACCACAGCAACAAGAGAGACACCCAAAAGGAAGCCCTGCCTTCGGGGGCTCACTCCCTACAGGAGAGGACAGGGTCTCCTAGAAGTGATGAGTGCCATGGCGGAAAACAGTGTGGGGCAAGGCGGGCCATCATCGTAAGCCACAGAAGAGACTGCAGCTTTAGAGCGCGTGGGCAGAGGGCGTCATGGGGAAGAGCTCTGGAGGAGGTGAGGGAGCAGGCCGCACGGAGCCCCGGGGGAAGCACGCACCGGGGAGGGAGCAGCCAGTGCAGAGAAGGCAGCAGGTGCCAGTGCCCAGGGAGCCGTCAGGGCAGCCTCTGTGCAGCCATTTTGAAACTGTTAGGACTGGGGCTTTTCCTCCGAGGGAGGGGGAATCCATGAGAGGGTTCTGAGCCCTGGGGGGCCTGCAAGAGTCTGGAGGTGGGAAGGAGTGAGGCAAGAGCAAGGGGCTCCCAAGAGGCCAGGAGACAAGCGCAGGCCACTGGGGGGCACTGAGATGGGAGGTTGCGGGGGGCGGGGGGTAAGTGTGAGCAGGGGCCCAGAGGAGAGTCGCGAGAGGAGAGCACCAGGGTTTTGTCTGCTTCCCTGCAACTCAGCGCCCTGAGGATGACACGGCTTTATGGTAGGAGCACGGCCACACTCGGGCCAGCTTGGGTAGCTACTCCGTGTCCTCCTGTGTAAAGTGGGGCACCCTTGTCTTTGCCACACAGGCTCATTGAGGGAGTTCGGTAAGGTTCTGCTCCTGGAGAGCCCAGCACAGGGTCTGGGGAGGAGCGGTGCACCCCGCTGTGGTCACCTGGGGAAAGGGAGTGGAGGATTGCACCAGGCAAGTTCTGACCTCAGTCTCTCCTCCCCAACCTGGTGGTCTCAGGCACGAGTTTGACAGTGAGAGAATACCTGAACTGTCTGGCCCGGCCTTCCTGCAGGACATCCACAGCGTGTCCTCCCTCTGCAAGCTCTACTTCCGAGAGCTGCCGAACCCCTTGCTCACCTACCAGCTCTATGGGAAGTTCAGTGTGAGTAAGGGAGCTGGCAAGGTGGGCGGGCTGTGGGATGCGTCCTACCCAGCCCACCTCATGCTGTCCGCAATCTCAGGAGGCCATGTCAGTGCCTGGCGAGGAGGAGCGCCTGGTGAGGGTCCACGACGTCATCCAGCAGCTGCCCCCGCCGCACTACAGGTAAACAAGACGGCAGGGCAGCCAGGGCTGGGGTGGGGCTGCAAGGGAGGCTCAGGTGTCCCCCTCCGCTCCACCCCCAGGACCCTGGAGTACCTGCTGAGGCACTTGGCCCGCATGGCGAAACACAGTGCCAACACCAGCATGCATGCCCGCAACCTGGCCATCGTCTGGGCCCCCAACCTGCTACGGTAAGCCAGCAGCACACCAGCCTTCCTGCCACAGCTCCCTCCCATGGAGTGGGCCTCAAGTCTCCTGCCAGCACCCCAGGGATGCACCGGACTTTCGTTCTCTCGTTCATTCATCTAATACTCACTTATGAAGGAGCTCCCAGGGAGCAGACCCAGTCCTCCCGGCCTTATCTTCTCAGGGAGGAAGTGGACGCTGAAGCACAACCAGGGAAAATAGGGCGGGGAGTGGGCCGGAGAGACAGGACGCAGGGAAGGGATGGACAAGTGTCCTGGCTGTTTGAAGTTTTCTTCTTTTTAAACATTTATTTTTGTGAACGTCAGAGTGAGACAGAGAGACAGAGATCTTCCATACATCAGTTCATTCCCTAAGTGGCTGCCACAGACCTGTCTGTCCAAGGCTGAAGCCAAGAGTCAGGAACTCTGTCCTGGTCTCCCACGTGGGTGCAAGGGCGCGAGCACTAGGGCCATCTAACGCTGCCTTCCCAAGGGCATTAGCAGGGAGCTGGATGAGAAACAGAGCAGCCAGGACTCAAACCAGCGCTCTGATATGGGATGCTGGCGTTGTAGGTGGGGGTTCACCTGCTCTGTACAAGTCCAGCCTCAGCCTGATTTTTCAGGTAGACTAGCGGGGAAGGGGTCAGTAAGTGTTTCTGGCCATCAGCAGAGTGATGGTGCCCAAGACTGGCACACTCTCCATCCCGAAGGAGTTCGCATTCTTCTGGAAAACAGATAGGTAAAAGGTAAAATGGGTTGTATGTCAGGTGACGCGCATAAGAAGTCTGGAGGAGAAGAAAAAGAGAAGGTCGCTCACGATTTTCAATCAGTGGGTGGGGAAGACTCCACTGAGAGGGTAACATTTGCGTCCAGACCTGCAGGAAGTGAGGGAGGGACTCAGGTGGCCATCTGGGGAGGAGAAACCAGGCAGAGGGAACAGCCGAGTGCAAAGGCCAGCGGGCTGGGTGGTGCCCGATGTTGGAGGAAGGCTAAAGCTGAATGGGAAGGTGAGTGATGATGAGGTCGGACAGGTGACAGGGACCCTATGGATGGGTGATGTGTGGGTCATGACAGGGACCCTGTGGATGGGTCATGGGTCATGGGGAGGATTTTGGTTGTTACCTGGAGTGAGGCGTAGCCAGGGCAGAAGCCCTGACCTCACCCAGGGGTTCACAGGCTCCCTCTGGCTACAGGTAGGGAGTGGACTGCTGGGGGCAAGAAGAGGAGCAAGGAGCCAGGGAGGAGGCTGCTGGGATGTCCAAGCAGGAGAGGACAGGGGCTGGGCCAGGGTGGGGGCAGTGGAGTGGAGAAGAGTGAGATTGTATAGGATTGAACATGGGTGGGAGATCGCGAACGATGCCATGTTTGGCCCGAACCACCAGCCAGACTGCACGACTGAGCCTGAGGAGGTCGTGGGGGAGCAGGCCTGGGGGAGTGTGAGAACCCAGGGCTGGGCGGGAGCAGTCTGCCAGTCACTGCTTCCACTGGCTCCTCACAGTGCCTACCCAGAGCCTTCCAGCCAGGGCTCAAGGCACTGGCCTTCCCCTCCTCCCACACAGGTCCATGGAGCTGGAGTCAGTGGGGCTGGGTGGGGCTGCCGCCTTCCGGGAGGTTCGGGTGCAGTCGGTGGTGGTGGAGTTCCTGCTCACCCACGTGGACGTCCTGTTCAGTGACACCTTCACCTCCGCTGGCCTTGACCCTGCAGGTATGCCCGTCCCACCCCGATAGCCTGGCTAGCGCCCCTCATCGTCAGGGCCGCAGTGGGAGGGCAGGTGGGCTCTCAGCCCCATCCCTACCCCCGCGGAAGCTGGACCTCCCTCCCAGCTCCTTGAGGACCCCGCCCCGGCCTCTCCCTCCCCGCGGCCCCCTCCTTCTCATTTCAGCTCCTACGCTCAGGATCCCCACTTCTCCGCCCGCCCGGACACCGTTCTTCCTTCACCCCTTGTAGCTCCTGGGGGCACTGGGGCCAGGGGTCCACCAGGGAGGAGGTGGGAGGTCCCCAGATTTGACCCTGCCCGGGCCCCGCCCAGACTCCCCGCCCTGCCCCGGACCCCAGCCCAGTCAGGACTCAGCTCGTCGGAGGGCCCTCTGGCCGAGGTAACTGAAGCCAGAGCCCTGCCCTCGCTGGCTGCTGGGAGCTGCCTCCTCATCAGCTCGTTCTGCCTCACCTCCTTCTCACCTGCCTGCTGCCCGCACCCATTCCCGCCTGATCCACTCTGGCCCCCTGCCTTGCCAGCCCGGGTGGGCCACGCTATGCGGCCGGGGCTTTGAGCTGTGGCGCTTGGCTTTGCCTGTGGCCTTGAGTGGCCCCAGAAGCTGACAGCTGGGCCCCCTTTCCCTAAATCCCCCAGGGCCGCTGGCCTCCTTCCCCCAGGCCCCAAGTCCCCTTGGCGGGAAGCGAGCCCCCTCCCACTCGCCTGCTGACGCTGGAGGAAGCCCAGGCTCGCACCCAGGGCCGGCTGGGGACACCCACTGAGCCTACCACTCCCAAAGCCCCAGCCTCCCCTGTGGAAAGGTGAGTGGGATGCAGGAGGGGAGGGGCGGGAGAAGGAGGGCCCTGGAGGCCCTGGTTCCTCAGACTACCTCCTGTTTCTTACCCGAACTCCAGGAGGAAAGGGGAGAGAGGCGAGAAACAGCGGAAGCCAGGGGGTAGCAGCTGGAAGACATTCTTTGCACTGGGCCGGGGTCCCAACGTCCATCGCAAGAAGCCCCTGCCCTGGCTTGGGGGCTCTCGTGCCCCACCGCAGCCCTCAGGTCAGAGGCTGTGCAGGTGGCAGGGCTGCGGGATAGGCCGCGGAGTGCCCTCTGCCTCCTACTTCTCCCTCTCCTTGCAGGCAGCAGACCTGACACGGTCACACTGAGATCCGCCAAGAGTGAGGAGTCTCTGTCATCCCAGGCCAGCGGGGCTGGTGAGCACGGGGTGGGCCCACCAAGTGCAGCTGGGAGCAAGTGGGGCCTTGGTTTGGCCTCCAAATGTACTCCAAGCATTTGGTTTTAAAAGTTTAAGATCTGGACTTTAGGTGCAGTGAGCCAGACAAAGTATCACCTTGGATTCATTACACAAAGTACTCACTGGTCCTTGGAAGGAGCCCTCAAACAACCTTTTTATCTATTCATTGCTTTTTTAAAAATTTGTTTATTTGAAAGGTAGAGTTACAGAGAGGCAGAGGTAGAGGCAGAGAGAGAGTTCTTCCATCCGATGGTTCACTCCCCAGATGGTCACAATGGCCGGAGCTGGGCCAATCTTAAGCGAGGAGCCAGGAGCTTCTTCCCAGTCTCCCATGCAGGTGCAGGGGCCCAAGCACTTATGCTGTCTTCTACTGCTTTCCCAGGCCACAGCAGAGAGCTGGGTCAAGTCTCGAACCAGTGCCCATATGGGATGCCGGCACTGCAAGCGGTGGCTCTACCCGCTCCGCCACGGCGCCGACCCCTATTCATTGCTTTTGAGAAAAAAATTCACTCATATTATGAGCTTTCATGAACACATTAGCCAGAACCAGAAAAGCCCCCAAACCGTACCTGTGAGCGCCTCCCCGGCCACTGCCACCCCCTAGAGGTATCCTTTAATTTGCTGATCATCACCCCAGCTTGTTCATTTCTGGTTTTTCAAATGTGACTTAAAGGGTGTAAGAAAGGGGCACCACGTGCCTGTGAACTTGGCTGTTTCACTCGCCACCCCCAACTCCCGTGGGTGTGGCTGAGCGTATCGGCCACTGGCTGCTGTCAGGTGGTCTGTGGCTCTCCCACGGGGTGCTATAAGCTCCATTGGGCTGGGGCCCTTCAAGCCACACCCCTGCCCCCAGGAGACTGCTCTGCTCTGTGCTCCGGCCACACACTGCACACGTTAACTGCTCGGGACGGGTCCAGGTGTTTGGAGCAAGTGTCCCGTGCGTCCCAGTGTGGGGGTCCCCACCGGCCTCACGCTCACAGCCTGGGTGTTGGGGTCTGGAATGGTCATCTGCGTGCCTTCCCATATTCACGGCCACGTGGCCCTCCCCAGGAATGTTCCTCTTCATGGGATCGCCCCGTTCTCACTGACCTATGAGCCTGAAGTTCTGACCCTGACCCCCAACTGCCCTCCCTCACAGGCCTCCAGCGGCTACACAGGCTGCGGCGGCCGCACTCCAGCAGCGACACTTTCCCGGTGGGCCCAGCGCCTGCCGGCTCGTGCGAGAGCCTGTCCTCCTCATCCTCGTCCTCGTCCTCCTCGTCCTCCTCGTCCTCAGCCTCTGCGTCGTCGGCAGCTGCGCAGGGGGCTCTCTCTGGCTCCCCCTCGCACCGCACCTCGGCCTGGCTGGATGACGGAGACGAGCTGGACTTCAGCCCCCCTCGCTGCCTGGAGGGGCTCCGCGGGCTTGACTTCGACCCCCTCACGTTTCGCTGCAGCAGCCCCACCCCGGGGGATCCTGCACCTCCTGCCAGCCCCGCCCCCCCAGCCCCTGCCTCTGCCTTCCCACCCAGGGCGACCCCTCAGGCCCTCTCGCCCCGTGGGCCCACCAGCCCTGCTTCACCCACTGCCCTGGACATCTCAGAGCCCCTGGCTGTGTCAGTGCCACCCGCTGTGCTAGAACTGCTGGGGGCTGGGGGCACGCCTGTCTCCGTCACCCCAACACCAGCTCTCAGCCCTGGCCCAGGCCCACGGCCCCATCTCATCCCCCTGCTGCTGCGTGGAGCCGAGGCCCAGCTGAGTGAAACCTGCCAGCAGGAGCTCGGCAGCAAGCTGTCACTACCCGGGGCTCGGGGACCCCAGGGCCAGCACGGTGAGGGCTGCCCCCCCCACCGCCCCCAGCTCCCGGTCCCCAAGGCCACCCTAGCACCCTGCTTACCACTTCCCGTTCCTTTTCCGTACAGGTCCTGGGGCGGACTCACCGCTGCTGCCCCCACCCTTGTCTCTCCTGCGCCCTGGAGGGGCCCCACCCCCACCCCCCAAGAATCCAGCACGCCTCATGGCCCTGGCCCTGGCTGAGCGGGCTCAGCAGGTGGCCGAGCGGCAGAGCCAGCAGGAGCGTGAGGGCACCCCACCTGCTCCTCATTCCCCTTTCCGCCGCTCACTGTCCCTGGAGGTGGGTGGGGAGCCCCTGGGGACCACAGGGAGTGGGCCAATCCCCCACTCCTTAGGCCACCCTGGAGCCTGGGTCCCAGCACCCCCACCCTACCTACCAAGGCAACAAAGCGATGGGAGCCTGGTGAGGAACCCGCGGCCCATGGGGACCTCTAGGAGGGGACTCAGAGGCCCTGCCCAGGTCAGTGCCCGGTTCAGGGCAGGGGTGAGGGGGTGCAGGGGGTGCCAGAGATGGCAACTCAGTCCCCATGCTCTGTCTCCTCACAGGTTCCTACTCCTGGCTTCTTCTCCCCAGCCCCCCGGGAGTGCCTGCCACCCTTCCTCGGGGTCCCCAAACCAGGCCTGCACTCCCTGGGCCCCCCGTCCTTCCAGCCCCGCTCCCCAGCCCCAGCCTGGAGGAGCTCTCGGGGCCCCCCGGCATCACTGGACAGGGGAGAGAACCTCTACTATGAGATTGGGGCAGCTGAGGGATCTCCCTACTCCGGCCCCACCCGGTCCTGGAGTCCCTTTCGCTCCATGCCCCCCGATAGGCTCAGTGCCTCCTACGGCATGCTTGGCCAGTCGCCACCCCTGCACAGATCCCCCGACTTCCTGCTCAGCTACCCCCCGCCCCCCTCCTGCTTTCCCCCAGACCACCTTGGCTGCTCAGCCCCGCAGCACCCTGCCCGGCGCCCCACCCGGCCTGAGCCCCTCTATGTCAACCTAGCCCTAGGGCCCAGGGGTCCCTCACCCACCTCCTCTGGCTCCTCCTCTTCCCCTCCTGCCCATCCCCGAAGCCGCTCAGATCCCGGCCCCCCAGCCCCCCGCCTCCCTCAGAAACAGAGGGCACCCTGGGGCCCCCGCACCCCTCATAGGGTGCCTGGGCCCTGGGGCCCACCCGAGCCTCTCCTGCTTTACAGGGCAGGCCCTCCAGCCTACGGGAGGGGGGGTGAGCACCCTCGAGGGTCTTTGTACAGAAATGGGGGGCAAAGAGGAGAGGGGGCTGGTCCCCCACCTCCCTACCCAACTCCCAGCTGGTCCCTCCACTCTGAAGGCCAGACCCGGAGCTACTGCTGAGCTGGAGCCAGGAGGGCCTTCCTCTCCCCCCTCCCCCTGTGGGATCCCCCAACCAGTCCCTTGTTTTGTATTTTTCTTGAGCCCTGATCCATACCCCAGGTTTCTAACTTTGTAACTTGCTTCTGATGTGGGTCCCTAACCTATAATTGTAGAGTCCCTACCCTGGGCTAAAGGGCATGCCCATCCTCCCACCACCCTCCATCCTGGGGGCCCTCGCACAAACCCGGGGGAGGCTAGGCTGACGCCCCGCCCCTCTCCCTCCCAGGAGCCCCCAGCATGTCCTGACCTGTGCACAGGGGGTGGGGGGAGCTCCTGCCTATCTCCCCCACACGTCCCACTAAACCATCTGACAAGCTTAATAAAATGGTGGAAATGTGGCTGCTGCTGCCGTGCTGGGGCGACTCAGGGAGTGAAGACACAGAAGGAAGGCTGCTTTATCATTTTACTTCCTCTGGGGCAGGCGGTGGGGAGTCGCTCCTGGGAGGCTCCGAGGGGCGACATTCGCAGAGGGGGCCGTGGGCTCCGGGAGCGAGGCCGAGGCGGGCTGGTCCCCGAGGTGGTGCCCACTGTGCAGCTCCGCCATGATCTCCTCCAGCAGGTCCATGCTGGCGGCAGTGGGGCGGGGGCAGGCCAGGGGTTACCGCAGGGAGGAGGAAGGGGACCCAGGGCCCCCACCAGGGCCCCGTTTCTCACTTCTGCAGGCTGGAGAAGAGACTCTCTCCGGTCAGCTCAGTGCTCAGGGCCTGCAGGAGCAAAGAGCAGAGCTGCCGCCAGGTGGCCCTGGACTTGCAGTGGGCCTGGGAGGGCGCCATGGCGCAGACGCTCCGGGTCCTCGGCTTCACCTGCCCTGGTGGCCTCCCCTGTCAGGGTGTGGGAGCCTCCCTGCGGGTCAGCTCACAGGGCTGGGGGTCCAGCGGGGCAGCCCTGTGTGTGAGCGGCAGCAGCCCCTGCAGGGCTTGGATCTTGGCTGAGAACTTCCTCTCAAACTGCTCCACAGAGCTCTGGATCCCCAGCGGGGAGGCTGCTTCCTGAAGGCTGGCGTGCAGGGCAGGGCCCTGGGGGAAGCGGGGTTGGTCAGGGGTCCCAGGTCAGTGAGGGGACCACTGGGACTCCCTGGTCAGGGGAGGCACAGCCAGGGAACGTGGGGCTGGTGACTAGGGGGACAGAGGGTCAAAGGTGAGCGCACGGGACAGCGGTGCAGGGCCCTGGGGAGATCCATACTGTTGAGCTGGGCTCCAGGCAGCAGTGCAGGCTGGCCCTGGCTGTGGGGCTGGGGCTGGGGCTGGGGCTGCTGCACAGAGCCAAGCTACTGCCTGAGCCCCAGGCTTCGCCCCTCTGGACCCTGCTGTGGCCCACAACTGTGGGAGTCTTCGCGGCCTGCAGAGAGCAACAGCAGAGAGCTGGCATGGGCTGCCTGGGTGCCGTGGCCTCCCACGTCCCTGCCCTGAGTCCTACCCGGGTCAGGATGGGGTCTGGGGGCATCACTGTGGTCTGGGCTCTGAGATCCACTTCATAGTACAGTTTCTCTGGCGGGGACAGAGCAGTTGTTGGACTAGGGGAGCCCAGCCCAGCTGCGCCCGGGATCTGCCATCGGCCCCTCCTTGCCCCCTAACCTGGTGATAAATCCTGGGCTGCAGGTGACAGTGTGCTCCCCTTCATTGGGGAAGTCACCTCAGGAGCTGAGACCTGTGGAAATGAGGCTGAGGGTGGGGCTGGGCCCTGCCTGGGCTGCCACAGCTGCCACCCCTGCCCACGGCCCCGTCCTGTACCTGGGCCAAGGCCTCCCGCAGCAGGTACCGAGTGCTCTGCAGGCTACCGCAGCGGTCAGCAGGACTTAGGCCCAGCCCAGCCTGAATCAGAGCCTGGTAGGGGACTGGCACCAGGGGGTCCAGGGCCGGGCCCTCCCCTGCCTCCAACTTAGCCTTCACCTCAGGGCCCTCTCTCCCAGCCCACGGCAGCTCTCCTGTAAGGAAGCATTATCAGGGAGACCCAGACAGGCATGGTGCCTCAGTGGGGGAAGGGGGCAGGGTCACTCACGGACCAGTGAAGACCTCCTGGGCCAGGATGCAGAAGCTGTAGAGGTCCGAGGTGGCGGCAGGCGTGTCCCCGCGGATCAGCTCCAGTGGCAGCCATGGGTACAGCTCAGGGGGTGGGGGCAGCCCTGGGCCTTGCCCTCCCAAAGGGGAGCCCTGCTGCAGCCTGTGGAGTCCAATGGGCTTGGTGAGCCAGGGGCTGCAAGACAAGGGCCTGGGGCAGGCGGGCTGGGCCGGCACTCACCTGGGCTGCAGCCAGCGTCGCTGCAGTGGGCGCCCGTGCTCCAGGCTGCTCACCTTCGCCAGGCCTGGCCGCACCAGCTGCACAGCATGGGAGCTGAGGCCGCCGTGCGCCCACCAGCGGGCTTGCAGGAACAGCAGGGCCTCCAGCACCTGCAGCAGCAAGCGTCCGGGCAGCAGGCCTGGCACAGCTCGTGGCCCCTCCTTGTTCGGTCCCTGTGGGTGCAGCACCCCGTGCAGGGAACCCAGCCACACAGGCTCAAAGAGAAGGCACAGCCCAGACAGGTCTGCCGAGGGGCTCAGTGCCATCAGCAGCAACAGGTTGGGGTGGTGCAGAGAGCTGGGGAGGAGGAGGGCAGGCTCTTCACCTGCTGTTTCTGGGCCCGGACCACCCGCCAAGGGCCGGGGCAGGTCATCTGCACCAGCCACCGGCAGAAGAAAGCCCGAGTCCTGTGCTGCGGCTCCCAGCTCGTAGCTCACCCATGGCACCCCCTTTCCTGCCTAGCACACAGAACTGGGGACCTGCTCCCCTCCACCAGGAGGGCCCCATACCAGGGGAGGCCCAGGGCTGAGGACTCCCACCGGGGCTGTGCTCATGTGCCCTGGCCCTCTGTTTTCGTAATGCTTAGGTCAGGCAGGTAGGGTAATGGGCTGGGGGAGGCCAGGCCCGGGTACCTGCAGTGCTGGAGGTCAGCCAACAGCACATCAGGCCGGGTCCCAGGGCCCTTCAGCTGCCGCACGGTCACTGGATGGCCCCTCCACAGGAGGCTGGGAACAGGCAGGGGGAGACAGCGCACGGCGGGGCTTGCCTCAGGGAGCAGGAGCGCCGGACTGGACGACTGGGAATGGGAGGGGCTCTCACTTGGCCATGAGGGTGTGGGAGCTGCCCTCATAGGTGCGGTCAGGCTCGCCCTGGGCGGGCAGCAGCTCCTTGGGGTCCACGAGGGGCACGCCTGTTACCAGCCCCGGTGGCTGCAGGTTGCTCAGCTGCGGATGGGGAGTGGGGCCATGAGGTGAGAAGAGGAGAGGGGTGGCTCCTGCCCCCCAGCCTCCCCCACTCACCTGGCCGAATCCCAAGGCTGGGGCTTGGGGGGCTCTCCTCATCTGCTCTGGCCTCAGCATCCTGGAGTAAAGGCAGGCTGCGGCTAAGACTGGGGTAGCGGGGTGTGGTGGGCGGGGGGCTCCAGGGTGTAGTTACCTGTCTGTGTGCCACAGTGAGGACAGGGAGCCACACAGGCCGAGCCCAGGGCTGGCATGCAACAGGCCCAGGGATGCCGCAGGTGCCACCTCACTGCCGCTCAGCAGGGCCCACATGTGGGCACGGCAGAGCTGCATCAGCTCCAGCACCTGGTTGGGTGTACGTGGGGTGAGGCCGGGTGCTGGCCCTGAGGCCCCCACCCCAAGCCCCAGAGCCACTGCTCACCTCCCAGCACTGCTTGGCACCACCCCACTCAGCCCAGTCTCGGGGTGTGCGGCCCCGCTGGTCCCGCAGCCGCAGGTCGCCCCCTGCCTGCAGCAGGTGCAGCACCACCAGACTGTGGCCGGAGAAGGCACCCGCGTGCACGGGTGTGCTGCCGTCCAGGCAGCGGCTATGGCAGAGCAAGAGAGGGCACCAATTAGGAAAGTGACAGAGCAGGGACAAAAGGGGGCGGGACGAAGGTGCTGTGAACACAGTGGGGTGGGGTCAGAGCGGGAGGGGTCGCTCCAGGACACAATGGGGTCTCTGAAGGGATGAGGGTTATTCTGAGCAGAGGAGGCCCCCAGAGGGTGGGAACAGTCATTGGAGCATGAGAAGGGGATGAGACAAGAGGACAACGGGGGTCACCGGGGCCCAGGAGCACCAGGGGGTAGAAGAACGGCCTCAGGGAGACAGCCATGGCTCTCATCTCTCAGGGCTCCGGCTCAGGCCCCGGGGATGGGGCACTGTCACCTGTCCACTCACTGGTTGGGGTTGGCACCGAAGGCCAGCAGGAGCTGCACGGCAGAGCTGTGGCCCAGCAACGCTGAGAGGAAGAGCCCCGTTTGCCCAGCGGAGTTCTCACTGTCCACCTGCACAACTGAGGGGCAATGAGGCTTAGGACTGGCCCCGCCCCATTCCTGGGCAGGGGGCCTGGGGGCCTCTGGGCAAACTCCCAGCCTCCTGAGTCCCTCCTTGTCCAGGTCCCACTGGGACCCCCACCGGCCAGCAAGGACTCTGCCTCAGAATCCATCTCAACAGTGCCCCAGAATTCATTAAATCCACAGTCGGAGCAAGGTGACATCCACCTGCCACCCCCATCTCACAGACAGGTTCCCAGGGGCCGGGTGGAAATGGACTTCACGAGGACTTGGGCTTACAGGAGCCTTGGGGCAGTCCGGGCAGGTGGCCCACCCATTGCTAACTCAGCACTGTGCATACACGGCCCCATGTGGCCCCCGTTCAAAACCAAGACAAGCAAGCCCTTCGGGCTTTATCAGGAAACCTCTCAAATCAATTTTTGGGTGCTGCTTCATCGATGGGTTAAATTCAGGCAGCAACCTCCTCGGCCCCTGCACTTCGGTAAGTACCTGTGCCAATCGCCTCCCCCCAGCGCCCGCTCCCTCAGTCCCAAGCCCTGGGTTCCAGCCCCACCCCTCCCCTTCCTCTTCCTCCAGGCTCCATCTCAGGGAGGGCAAACACAAGGCGTCCTCTCCTGGCCCCCTACAGACATAGCTAATCAATCTCCCACGTGGTCCAACCCGGCGAGTTCTCCACCACAAGATCCCTACAAATGCAGTTCGAGAGCCTCACCAGGCCATCTTTTTTTTTTTTTTTTTTTTAATTTTTTGACAGGCAGAGTGGACAGCGAGAGAGAGGGACAGAGAGAAAGGTCTTCCTTTTGCCGTTGGTTCACCCTCCAATGGCTGCTGCAGCCGGCGCACCGCGCTGATCTGATGGCAGGAGCCAGGTGCTTCTCCTGGTCTCCCATGGGGTACAGGGCCCAAGGACCTGGGCCATCCTCCACTGCACTCCCTGGCCACAGCAGAGGGCTGGCCTGGAAGAGGGGCAACCGGGACAGAATCCGGCGCCCCCAGGCCATCTTCTTACAACACAAATCATTTCAGGGACCGGGGAATCTTACGCAAGGTGTTCCAAAACACAGACAGAGGGGGGGGGCATATTTTTATGAGGTTAGCATGCCCTTAATTTCAAAACCAGATAAATTTCCAGAATTAGAAAATTATACATCAATTCCATTTATGATTATATATGCAAAAACACTAAGTAAAATTGATTCAACATTAGAAAATCTATAAAGCAAAGGATAAAAATGGCATTTAACTAATTAGATACAGAAAAAGCACTTGATAAAAGTAATACCTACTTGCAATTAGGGGAAAAAACTCCTACTTGATAAAAATTATCTATTTCCCATTTGACTACACATTTTCTCCAGTTAATAGAGTTCAGTGGCTATGCTTAGTGGATAGATTAAAATTGCCATGATCTGACGAAGAGGGAGGGGGTTTGAAATATGAAATGGCTGAACAGAAAAAAAGTTATGAACCCCGAACCAGTAGAAAGCCTGGACTTAATGCAAAATATAGACTCATTTTCTTTATTATCAAACATAAGGAAAGAGACGTCCGCCAACAACATGATTTTGGAGTTCTGGCCAAGACCCTAAGGCGAGCAAAAAGAAATCAGAGATTAGATCCTGGAGGGCTAACACCAAACCGTCACCAGCAGCACAGAACAAAACAAAAGGGAAAACTCAAAGAATCAGCAAGTGACTATCTACAGGTTCAGAAAGCGCCCACACAGCTCACAAATTCTGCTAGAACGGAAATGACGCGTTCATTTCATGTCGATGGCCTCCTGGGTTATAACTGGATGGTTTCCCATCACCAGGAACAAACTGCAAAAATTCCTACATTCTTTAGTCTCTGGACCTGCGGCCTCTCCAGCGCCCCCCTCTCCCTGAGACCTGCCACCACACACACACACACACACACACACACACACGCCCCGTTCATTCAGACTTTAGGGCGCTGGCGTGAGCTGCTCTGTCTTCCAGGAGTCTGTTCACCTTTTGCATGATTAGCTCTTCTCCTCTGGGATCTTTCACAGCGATCCCGCGGTCCCGTTCACCCTTAAGCCCCCAGGGCCTGGTCCACGGAGGGCAGGTGCCCGGCACACAACTGGGGCTGGGCCCCCCATGCTGCCCCTGGATCTTGCCCCCAAGGCGGCCCCAGCAGCCACGCCCTCACCTCTCCGCAGAAGCTTGGCCAGGCCCCAGCCTGGGCCTCCAGCCATGGCCAGGCGATGCAGGCGGCCCACCAGGGCGTCGGAGCCCCGCACGGAGCCCAGCTCCACCGGGAAGCGATGGGGCGGGGAGGGCATGTGCCGGCTGCAGACTCGGGCGGCTCAGCTCCGGGGCGCGGGGCAGCGCGGCGGCCTCATGCGGGCAGGCCGGGGTTCCGGGGATGGCGGGGGGCAGTCCCGCAGGGAAGGCAGCCTCTGAATGAGAAAGGGGGTGGGCTCAAGGGGGGCTCAGGGCAGGGGTTGTGGCGAGTCTGAGGGCCGCAGGGGACCTAAGGAGGGCGGGAGGGACGCTGGGAGCCTGCCTTAGGGTCCGAGGGCTTGGTAGGGGGCGCTGAGGGTTCCCGGCGGGAAGAGGAGCGCCCGGGTAGGATCAGAGGGGCGGGAGGGTCCGCTCGCCGGGCGCTCTGGGCGCTCTGGGATCCAGGGCTGCCTGCACAGCCTGCGGCTGGGGGAGGGTCTGCTGGAGGGGGCGCGCACTTAGGTGCGGGAGGGGCGCGTATGTCGGGGGCGGGGTCTACAGGTGGGGTAGGGGACTAGGGAGGGGTCTAAGGGCCGCATCCTTGGGATGGGGCACAGGGTCTGCTGGGGGAGGTTCTGAGGAGAGGTGGGGTCTCCAGGTGGGAGGGGGCTCTGAGGGCTGTGGAGGAGTGAGGAGGAAGGGCGGGGGCCCAGGGCGGGCTCTGGTGGAGATCTGAGGGCCCGCAAAGCTCTAAGAAAGTTCTAGGCCCAGACCCCGCCCCAGTTGGCTGTGCACCTACCGTTGGGCTCAGTGGTCTGCACGTGACTGCCACGTGACCCTTGCGCACTGGGCGGGAATCCCAGGCGCAGGCGCGCATGGGTGGTTTCCTGTCGGGTTTTCATGCCTGCCCTCCTCGGGGCGAGGTCCCTGCGCCATGGGAAGCGACCGCGTTGTCTGCCCCAGAGCCCTGGGTTGCGTTTTACACGGTCCTCCGTTCTTTCCTACCCCTCCAGGACGGACCTCTTTGGGGCAGGGGGTCCTGTACAGCTGTCCAGGTCTGCTTATTTATTTATTTTAAAGATTTATTTATTTATTTGAAAGAGCTACAGAGATGCAGAAGGAGAGAGAGAGAGAGAGAGAGAGAGGTCTTCCATCTGCTGGTTCACTCCCCAGATGCCAGCAACAGCCAGAGCCGGACCAATCCAAAGCCAGGAGCCAGGAACCTCTTCCGGGTCTCCCACATGGGTGCAGGGGCCCAAACACTTGGGCCATCTTCTGCTGCTTTCCCAGGTCACAGCAGAGAACTGGATCAGAAGTGGAGCAGCTGGGCTTCGAACCGGCACCTATATGGGATGCCAGCACCGCAGGCAGCAGCTTCATTCACTATGCCACAGCGCCGGCCCCCAGGGCTGTCTTCTTACCATGCTCCTCACCCACTCCACGGGCTGTTTCCTACCAGTGGGGCTGCCCCAGCCTCTCCCCAGAGCCTCAGAACTGAGACCCCCCCGCCCAGTACCCACCAAGTCCCACCCTGGCCTCAGTGTCTCCCCATAACTGTGTCTCCTCTCAGGGCCCTGTCTCAGGGTTGGCCCCACTGTCCCCCTCTCCAACCCAGAGCTCTGGCCTCGCGCTGGCCAGCTCCCTGCCATCAGGCCTGGCAGCCCATGGCTCCCCTCTCAGCCTCCCAACAGTGCTTTTAACCAGCCCCCTCCGGTCCTCCTGGCAGCTCCTCCCACCCCCCAACCCGGCCTGGCTCCACATTCTAGTCCAGCCAGCGAGATTTATTTATTTGTTTGGAAGGCAGAGTTCAGAGAGCGAGCGAGCGAGAGACCTCCCATTCACTGGTTCACTCTCCATATGGCCACAGTGGCTAGGCTTTGACTGAAGCCAGGAGCTCCATCTGGGTCTCCCATGTGAGTAGCAGGGCCCTAAGTACTTGAGCAGTCTTGGGCTGCTTTCCCAGGCACACTAGCAGCAGGGAGCTGGATCAGAAGTGGAGCAGCCGGAACTCAAACCAGTGATCCTATGGGTGGCAGGCAGAGGCTTGCCCCGCTGCGCCACAACCGAGGGATACCTTAAAGGCAGGTTGAGCCTGTCCCACTCCTGCCTGAAATCTTGCTGACTCCCCAGTACCCCCGGGACTGACCTGAAGCCCCGAGTCTGGCCCTGCCCCTCCAGCCTTGTCTCCCCGCTGCGCGATTTGTGTCACACTTCTCTGTTTACACACGTGCCCCTGAATTGTCAGTCTTCGCTGGTCGCTCTGGTGAATTTCCTGGGACGCCCTCCGGGTCACCGCCACCCGGTCTGGATCAGGTGCCGCCTCTGGGCAGGGGTCTGCTCCCCCCGCTGGACTAAGCCCTCTGGGGCGGGGCCTGGGCTGTCCCTGCTGTGCCGCCAGCACAGTTCCCCTCAGAGCCCAGCTCTGAAGGGGCTCCATTCGACGCTTAGGATCTGAGAGACTGGTTTGACTGGCCCTCTGCCCCTGCCCGGCCTTTTGTCTTGGGCCCCTGCCGCCCACATGGGAGACCCAGATGCAGTTCCTGCCTCCTGACTTCAGCCTGGCCCAGCCCTGACTGTTGTGGGCATTTGGGGTGAGTGAATCAGCCGATGGAAGGTCTCTCTCTCTCTCTTTACCTTTCAAATAAAGTGAAAATAAATATAGCTGTCTGTTGTTGTTGTTGTTATTTTTATTTTGTTTTCCTTGAAGAGAAGGAGCTCCCAAACTGCAGAGCTGCCACACTTGGCCTGGCCGATGCGAGGTGATGCCTACCCCAGGAGGCGGCTGCCGTGCAGGACAGAGGCACCGGCAGTGGCTGGGACCTCTGTTAGCCACGCGCCTCCCAGGGCTGCTAACGGGATGCCCTGAGGCCTCCCCCCAGCAGCCTCCGCCACAGTTCTTGGCTGAGCAGCGCCTGTTCCCTGCGGGCGCCCTGTAGCACACTCCGGTTCTCCTGGGCTCTCCGGATCAGGTAGGGGATCACCTCCTCCAGGGAGCCGTAGGGGATCGACTTGTACACCGCGTAGCCGGCCTGTCCTGCGGGGAGAGTGTTGGCGGGGCGCGGGCTCGGGCTTGGAGACTGCGAACGTGGCACACTAGCCGAGCTACGTAAAATCTCGCAGTGCAAAGGCTAAAACCCCTGCAGCCAACGTTTCTGAAAACCCTAATGTGATGAAGGTGCTTCCGAGAGAGTAATGCATGTACTCGTCCAAGCGCTATGACACAGTGAGGCGCCAAAGAGGGAGGGGCACACAGGAGGCCACTCCTGCCCCGTGCAGGTAGCAGGGACTGTTCAGGGATCTCAGAGTTGCAGAAGCTACACATGGGCTTAACCTGACTCAGGTGACAGCCGTAAAGGGGAACGTTCCTCGGCGAAGCTGGAACCCGGAAGAGCGACATTCTCAAAGAAAGAGTTAACACAAGTCGCCCTCCCGCCTTCCCGTCCTCACGGACGGTGGCCTTGGCCATAAGCAGAGCAGGCAAGACAACTGGAAAACCTATCTCTAGGAGCTTGTGGCCCTGGTTAACCCAAACTTGCAACACTAGGCTGTCTCAGGAACCCTCAAGCTGTGAATTTTGGGCAAAGTGGCTTTGTAACCCTTAGCATCTGGCAGGAGAAAACTTAAGTCTGGTGTCGGGCCCTGGGGAGCAGCAGGGTCAGGACAACAAAAGCCACAGGAAACCGGACACCGTGGTGGAGAAGCAGCTGCTCTGGCTGGGAGCCTGCGTGCACTCGTGGGAAGGGCAGAGGGATCTGGCTAGGGTGAGGAGTGAGGGGGTGGGCACGCAGCGGATGGGCTGGCCACTTACCCAGCGCTAGGGAGACGTGGTCACACATGCCCAGGAGTTGTCCGAAGCAGACAGGCCCATCCAGAGGAATGCCCAGCTCCCACATGCTACAGAAAAGGCCACGTTAGGGAGCCGGACAGAGGCGGCAGCCAGAGCTGCCCCGGGGGCCATTACGCACCCGCGTGCCTGTTCCGGAAACTCAAAAAGAGAAGTATTTCTTAACCTGATGATACATGACCACTAGGCTGAGCCCTTTGAAAGCCGAGTAAGTCCCAGTCATTTTCCTGGAACCCTCGGAACCCTCCCCGTGCCCCAGCAAACAAGGGTTAATGTCTCGTCCAGCTAGGGAACCTACAGCATGACAGGGCTTCAAAATCTTGGCCGGTGCCACGGCTCACTAGGCTAATCTTCCCCCTTGCGGCGCCGGCACACCGGATTCTAGTCCCGGTCGGGGCGCCGGATTCTGTCCCGGTTGCCCCTCTTCCAGGCCAGCTCTCTGCTGTGGCCAGGGAGTGCAGTGGAGGATGGCCCAGGTGCTTGGGCCCTGCACCCCATGGGAGACCAGGAGAAGCACCTGGCTCCTGCCATCGGATCAGCGTGGTGCGCCAGCCGCGGCGGCCATTGGAGGGTGAACCAAAGGCAAAGGAAGACCTTTCTCTCTGTCTCTCTCTCTCTCACTGTCCACTCTGCCTGTCAAAAAATAAAAATAATAAAAAAAAATCTTTAACATGCTCCTGAGAACACCTCACTGTTCCTGTCTGTCCCAGGTCCACCACCCTCTGCCCGTCCCTGGCATGTGAGCAGGAAGAGGAGGGAGGAGGCTCTTTTGCGGGTGCCTATTCCCCCCTCCCCCACCTCGTACCGCCTGGTTGCCTGGCGAACAGACTCCTCATTGTGGGAAGCCACCATGAGGTGGCACAGGGGGCCATGGCGGGTCACGTGGGTCAGCATCAGCTCCAGGCAGCGGCTGTAACTGAAGGGAGACATCTCCACTCAACTCTCCTGGTCAGGCGCCAGGGACCGGGGATTCCTGTCCTCGGGGAGGGGAGGTGCTCCCAACCAGGGTCTCCGTGGCCAGAGACTTCTTCCCTGTCACCTGCACCAGCTACAAGGGCCAGCATGTTCCTCTCCTGTAACAAGGCAAGCCCACCGCCTCGCGCTGTTGGGAGGGTGGGGTGAGGTCAGGTCACAACCAAGGGTCCAGTCACACATGCAAGGTTATTCCCTGCAGGGTGGTCTCCAGGACGTGACTGACAATAGCTCAGTCCCCAAGCGGGCAGCCAGCTCAGAGAGCTAGGGCGCAGGCAGAGAGGAGCAGGGACGCCGCCGCCTGGAACAGGGCACAGAGCCTGGCCAGCGCTCGCCCAGCTTGTGGTCAGCCCCATGCCACCCCTGCTGCTGCTCCTCCCTGCACCCTGGGTGTGTTCTCTGCCCCCGAGGAAACGGAGTCCCATGCAGGAGGTCAGAAGGTAGGAGGAGAGAGAGCGTGCTGGTGTTTTGCCAAGATGGCGAGGCCACCCTACCCTGCCCTCCGTCAGCCACAGACGGCTCCCACCCCCCCCCCCCCCCCCCGCTCTGGGTAATGGACATTCCTCCCGGGGAAGGTCCCCGGACCTTGCCCACACTGCTAGCGTCCAGCCCTTCGCTAAATTTCCTTCCCCTTGCATGGATTTGTTGGAAAAATCTAACCACTCATCTACTCCCCAGACCAACCCAAGGTCTATGGGAGCATCAGAGTTGTCCGCACTTTTCAGAGGGGAACAGGTTTAGTTCATGTTTTATCCCCAAATCACGCAGGCGCAGGAACCCAGGCTGCCCGATGCTCCATAGCCTGGTCTCCTGGTCGATAGACTCGCCTGCCTTTAAGATACCGATTGGAGGAGCGTGCACTGTGGCACAGCGGGTTAAGCTGCTGACTGCAATGCAGGCGTCCCATATGGGTGCCGGTTCAATTCCTGGCTGCAAATGTCCCGGGAAAGCAGCAGAAGATGGCCCAAGTGCTTGGG